TCCGACAATTCGACTACTCGGTTATCACCGATGTCGAGCTCACAGCATCAACTACTGCGCCATTGCTGGCGGTGACCGGCAGGCTGCTACCGATGCGGCCAGCAAGAATCTGGAAGCAGGTAGCAACGTTGCCTCCATTGATCTGATGAACATCAACAAACCCGACGGCGAACCTCCTCCAGCTGGAGTAATAGAGATCCCCGATCTACGAACGCGATTACCATATCATATCTCGTGGCCATACGTCCGTGAGACGAGTGATACTATATTTGAAGTTCAACACGGATCCCGATCGCGTGAAATCGGTGAGTGCTACGGTCGACGGAACGAAATTGGATAAAGAAGACGCTCCCATGGGTGACTTTGTCATCAAATCTTATGAAGGATCGATTGCCCTCACGAATTCATGGAAGGTTGATCTCAAAGACGGCTCAACGGCATGGGAAGGCAAGCTGGATGTAGCGTGGTTGCTTATAACCTACGCAGTGATGAGCTTAGTTTGAGACCTGCTTTATGCTTCAGCCGTTCTAATCTGTTATTATATGAAAGGGTTGTACTTATGTGTAGTTCTAATATGACAGCATATATCATTTCCATGTCCAACATACTCAGAACTATGTAGACTTCACATTTTTACCAAAATGCATCCTCCCCTGCCACCGGCGCAGTCGCTGTCCAAACAGATGCAACACCACCATGAAGAACAGCGACCCAAACGTAATAGCCGCTTGGATCCCCAGTGCCCTGGCCGGCCCCATGCCACTGACCCAGTCAATTTGAATATACGTGGCCATAAACCCTCCCCAGTTCCGACTGGCCGTCACCCACGCGCCCACCTCGCCGGATCCCTCGGGGTAGCAGTCAAGCAGGTATGCGTTGATGGCGGTCGTGATGATCATCATACTGCTGCATTGCATGGCTGCGAAAACGGCAATGACCATGTAATGCCAGTGGCGCTCAAAGGCGAACCCCAGCACGATCAGACTGACGCAGCAGAGGATAGTAGCGGGATAGACGATGATCAGGCGTGCTTCGGGGTGTAGGCGGCCTTGGTGTCGATTCATGTAGAAGATGCCTACTGCGTCGTGGAGGTAGTGTCCCATCAGCCAGCCGATGATGACGCCGACAATGCCGAAGAAGTAGAAGTAGCCTGCCAAGGTCAGTATCTTGAAAAGACCGGAAGGCGACGGGATATACCAATGCCGCGGGTGGAAAAGCCATAGTCATTGCTCAGCCATATTCCGATAGTCGTGTTGACTCCAATCACCCAGGCGAAGTTAAGGAAATAGTAGATCAAGATAATCAGTACCGGAATTCTGGTAATGGCCACGATAGGTCGCATGGCGCATTGGAGGAAGCTCCTCTCCCCCCACAGCTGCGCTTGCTGGGCTCCTGTGAGACGAGCAACATATGACCCTCTCGGTATTTGCCGAGCTCTGCGATCGAACAGTGTTTCATCGAGAAGGAGGACGAGCAGAAAGGCCACCGCTGACATGCAGGTACACAGCCAAAAGGCCCAGCGCCAGGAGACATCCGTCACGATGAAGCAGGTCAGCAGCGGACCAAGGTAGGGGCTCATGATGATGAAGAACTCGATGTAGTTGATGACTTTGGGGTGTTCATGGAAGAAAAACAGGTCTTTGATCCAGAGCAAGGCGCCTCCCTGACCAACACTGCAGAAGAGCCCGTTGATGATCCGCGCCGCCATGTAGGACTCGAAGCTGGTGGCTGCCGCGGACCAGGCACATGTCCCGACCATGACTGCTTGGAAGAGCAGAAGAACGGGCATGCGACCGAAGAAGCCTGCCAGGATCACTACGATGATGCCACACGACCCGATGGTGAAGAGGTTGCCGACAACGGCTCGTTGGACAGTAGCCTGGGACAGGCCCCATTCTCTAATAACTGATCAGCAGCTTCTTTGTGCTTATGAAGTATGGAACCCTACATGGACTGAGGAATGACAGTGATGATCGCCGTGCCTCCGGTATAGTCGGCCAGGAAGGCGATATACGCCATGATCCAGACAATCAGCCATTTTTTGCGCGAGCTCCAGTTCAACGGGTCATCGGGGGTATCCAAGGGTTGCGGGATGAGAACATAACGGCCATCTGGAGTCGTTTTCAAGCCGGCCGCATTGTTAGGATATCGGCTGGGGTCAACGACATATCCTTCTAAGGCTTCTTTATCCTCGTCTATCCCAGCCGAAGTAATCTGTACGGGGGGTTTGTCGTCCATCGTGGTAAGCCGATGCCAATACAACGGGTCTCTATGAATCCACCTTTAATCGGCAGCCTCGGGTGCGATTGGTCTGGGGAGAGATGAGAGAGAAAGTCCAAAAAGGTATTTGAACGGTTGTGGAAAATGCTCGACTATAATAGAAGCTGTGGAATTTGGGAAATTGTTTAATTTCTCCTAGTGAACAGGGAACATGCCTTGTTCTGTGTCCATACCACTATATAAGATCCCTGCAGCACCAGCAAAATAGACCAGCTCCTGGGTCGGATCAGGCATGGATTTACGGCACAATTACCCGGGAAATAATGTTTTTGAGAAGGGTCGAGAACAATTGATTGTATAAATGAGGTGCAAACCCCTGCATCTAGTAAGAATCTAGACAGGGATCAGAAATTAATGCATCGTGGGCCAAAATTACCAGAAACGGGAAATGCGGACGGAAGAGACAAGGAAGTTGGCTGTGGTCTTAGCACGAATAGCATTGTCTTGGTCCACAATTGACAGCAACCACATCTGAGAGACCCCACCACCATCGTAGGAATCAAGCCGAACTAAGAAACTGCGGTTGCTTTGCCCAGCCGTAGCCGAGGGAAACTAATATACTCTAACGACAGGGGATGCGACAGGGGACGATCCCGCGGTTGCATGACAGTCCACTTCCAACTCGCAGAGAGGTCATTTATCCCTATTCCATTGGTCGTTTAATTTTAATCCATGGCCTCTAGAGCAATACGGCGCAGTCATGGTGCATGTGAACCTCATACGCAGTCCAGGATTAGCAAGAAACTGATCTCAGCTCCCTGTCCAATATCCCTGTACTGTTCTGTAAGACTGGGATTGACCGGGAATGCAGCACCCTAGACGGCCTCCATCTGGCTGGACTACAAAATCTCCGCGACTGAAGTAATCATGTACTCTACTATGTTTTCATCGACGTGCAAGGACAACTCAGGCTCACTATGGCTGCGGCATACGGAGGACGCGGTCCTGTTCTGCTTGGAGTGACCTGGGCAGAAACAGCCCTGGCTTTGATTCTGTTCGGGTTACGTGCGAAGACCGCGTCTCTGTGTCCACCAGAGGATGTTTCATTTGGGTTCTGTGGTCTGCGATGGGATTTTATCTGGGTGATGTTCGCTTATGTATGTCAGATCGGACACAGTTGAAAAAATACATACTGATATACGGCAGGCACTTGCCTTTGCGGCCCAGTGCACCATGACGGTGAGCGTCTCATACGGCCTCGGATTGCATCAGGATCACCTCTCGCACCAGCAGATTGTTGCCAGCAATTACTGGAGCTGGATTGCTCAAGTCCTGGCCATTCTTGATCTGGCAATAGCCCGGTGTGCTGTGATCGCTTTCCTCCTGGCATTGCAGACGCATACCCACCGCAGAGGGCGCTGGGCACTGCTCACTGTGGGTGCCCTCCAGGGGCTGATCAACGTGGCCGAAATTGGGGTCATCTTCCATCAGTGTGATCCCCCTCGGCGATTGTGGGATATGGATGTTCCAGGGACATGCAATCTAATCGAGACATGCTTGTATATCGGCTACGCTCAGGGTGGTATGTTCCCCTTGCATCTCATAAAGGACAGAAGGTATTGATGGAAGCAGGAATGGGTGCACTCGCGGACATCTTTCTAGCCTGTTATCCGGTCTATGTCATCGGACGACTTCAGCAGATGAGACTTTCCGTCAAGGTTGGACTGTGTTTGTTGATGAGTGGAGGAGCCATGTCAGTACTTGTCCCCCTTGGCATCTATGTTTACTTTTGCTAATGCCAATGTCTCTCCAGAGCAGGAATAGCCGGGATCAACAAGACAGTCGCCATATCCACCATCGCCGAAACCGACGACCAAACGTACGCCATCGCCAAGCTCAATACCTGGGTTCTGACAGAAATGTGGTTCATTCTCATCTTTGGGTCCATTCCTGTCCTGCGCCCCTTCTTCGTGCGATTCTCTCAGAGCATCAAGACTGTCGCGGGATACTCGAGTTCGCGTAGCCGCACTCATGCTGATGGCGATCGTAGTGGGAGTCGTCCCAATGATGAGACATGGATAAACCTCGATGGTCAGCAGCCTAGCCCCTGGATTGCCAATGGGCCTCGTACGAAGAAGGGCGTGTCCGTGGGGATTCATGGAGACAGTGAGGAGAATATCCTGTCCACGACGTATCCCGATCAGATCGTTGTTACGAAGAAGACTATTGTGATGGAGGAGTCTCGCTAGCTGTCTTATCGAAATAATGTCTTTCTTTATCCTTCTGTGTGGTATTAGCGTCTCTTTTTATTTAAGAATAGAGTTCTTTCGGAGAGTCTTCCCGGCTTCTTCGTTATAGAGGTAACACTCCCAAGTATCAATATTATCGGAGCGACTCGACCAGCATTACCTCATCAAGATTCGTTCGTACATGATAGCTCTGGGTTGCTTCATCTAACTTACACTTCCATTCCAAATCTCCCTGACTCCACCAGAATGGCCTAAACACACTAGTAGGGACGGTTCGAAGCACCCCTGTCTGGCGTCTTTCTAGTACACTCGGTGTCATTTTCTCTCCATCCAAACATCATGCATTGGGTGGATCATGAGTGTGCCGCACTTCCATTGTCTCATTTGTGGACTGGGACCTTCCGGGATAAATTGGCGTGGTCAGGGCCTTGCTCATCCTCTATTGCTCTGCGTATGCCAACCTCGCCAGCTTTCCGACCCCCCTGGACAGTCCTCGTCTTCATTCTTTTCCTTTTCAGCTTGTAGACAAAAATGACCATATTTGACGAAATTAAGAACGTTCAGAGGCTGGCTGAGGCCGAGGCTGCGGGTGATCCCAATGCTCACAGTCAACTCCTGGCCGCTATTCGGAAGCTGCAATTGGCAGCGGAAAAGCCGATTGACACAACTTCTCGAGTAAACTTTCAAGTAAGTCATATAATATAAATTTAATAGAGGAATGCCACTTACAATCAGATTATGCAAAATATCTGCGTTCGAGTAGCAATCGAAAGGAAGCTGCTGCACGCGATAGCGGCGAGGAATGGAGATCCGATAACATCGGCAGAACTGTCGCGTGTGACTGATACCGATGAGCTTCTAGTCGGTAAGTGCCTTACCTGCATTCCTATATCTTCAGATCGATGCTCATCCTAATGCATCAGTCCGTGTCATGCGCGTGTTGACCGCAATTGGCTTTGCCCGCGAGACGGCCAACCAAAGCTATGCGGCGAATGAGACGACTCATTTTGAGATCCTCCCTGGATCAATTGCCGCAGTGAAGCATCAGTACGTATCACCATGCTCGTGAAAGGGAAGTGACTTACTTTAGCAGTTTTGAACCCGACTTCGGCATGGTACCTTCCCTCGATGCTGACACCACGGTCCTGGCTGACAATCTAGGGAGCCAAACTGGTCGAGTACATGCGCGGGCCAGGCATTAGCCAGTTCGCCGACGAACCAGGCCAACAGACACTCTTCAAGTACGCACATGGGTTTGACAAAATCTTCGGCATGCTCGAACAAAACCCGGAGCAAAAGCAGGCGTTCGATGACTACATGGCGTCTCGACGGTTGATCAACCAGCCGCAGTGGTTCGAGATCTACCCTGCTGCGGAGAGACTGCGGGATGTACGAGACAGTCCAGACTCCGTTCTGCTGGTCGATGTTGGAGGCGGGCCAGGACAGGAAATGTCCCGTTTCAGACAACGTCACCCGGACATTCCGGGGAGGATCATCTTGCAAGATCTGCCTCTGACCCTCAATCGGATTGAGAAGGTACCAGAGGGGATTGAGCCAATGGAACACGATTTCTTCAATCCGCAGCCAGTCAAGGGTAAGATACACGCTACTTATTAGATCAAACAGAGCTGACAGTCAAAGGTGCCCGGGCTTATTTCTTCCGGCAAGTCCTGCATAACTGGTCCGACGCCAAAAGCAAGCAGATTCTGTCACATATCGCCGATGCCATGGTGCCAGGATACTCCACCCTGCTGATCGACGACTATGTGTTACCGGATACTGGAGCCGAGCTGAGAGCAGCTGAGATGGATATTCTCATGTGGCTACATACCGCCGGTCTTGAGCGAACTGTCTCCCAGTGGAAGGCTTTATTCGATGCGGTAGGCCTCGAGCTGGTGCACATCTGGAATACCGACAAGGGAGATGAGTCGGTGCTGGAAGTGAAGAAGAGGTCGTGATGCATACAAGCCTTCTGAATAAGCTTCCAATTCTACTCACATCTTACTTGCGCAACACCAGCGAAAGTAGCTGAATTGAGTCGTCTTGACGCAATCTGTGTTGAGTATGCTCTGGGATTTCCGCTCGCATTGTAGCCAGACCAGCACCAGTAGCTAAATTTAGGAACTGCTCGGGGCAGGAAAGAATTGGCATCATCTGCACTCGTGGAGGCACTCATAGAATGCGCTGCTACCTTTCCTAGATTATGTTCTGATCTTATCCCAAGTGAAGATCTTCATCAGCTATAGCGCATTACCGTTCGGCGCTTTTCCATTCAGGCTGACACTGCGTATTTTATAGTCTCACCGTGCTCTCCAATGTCTACCTTTCCACTGCCCATGCCGTTTACCATTGAGCGCTTCTTCCATGTCCTTTCCGCAAAGGGCAATCCCGTGGACCTTCCCGTCCGTCAGCTATCTGCACTGCCAAGTACCTCTGATACTCCTTAGCACAGCTACTTTCTAAAAACCCGGCCTTTTAAGGCCTCATGATCCAGATTCATCTACCGTCCTTTCAGACTCTTTTCCTTGGACCCGCCCACCGATTAAGTCAGGTACTTCAGGCGCCAAGGCCTTGGCTTCGCATTTGCCCCGCTGGGACCCTGAGGCAGCAGCCGGCAGCCTAATCGCCAACGCGTCGTTATAACGCGATTGAAGGCTCTATCTTTGCAATTTACAGCCGGTTTTATAGTTATTGTGTTCGTATCAGCAGGATTACTCGATCATGGCAGTCGCAACGCCCTCCGCGCAGTCGCGTTTCGACTTACCGGGGTTCTCCTTACCCCTGAACTTCACTCCCGGGTCGCTGAGGCGTGTCATGTTCCCTAATGGGCTGGACGATCATTTCATCTCGTAAGGTCGTCACGGTCAGCAAGTGAGGGCAAGCTGACAGAGATAGACGGTTGGATACGCATCGAGAAATAGTCATGATGCGAGCAATGAATGCAATAACCGACAAACCGGACTGGGACAAGAAGGCACGTTTTCCATTATGTCAACAGGCTCGTACTGACTTGCTCAGGTGTTCAATGATGAGATTACTGCCAAATGGCGGAAAGAGATTCAAGACAGCGGGGAAGATGTCAGCGAGCGAATGTTAGACTGGATCATCAAAGAAGCGCAGTGGAAAGCTGGGGTCTTCCAAGATAGCAAGCACATTGTCGCATTTGACGTAGGCGTGGTCAAATCAGATGTTGCCATACCGGAGGAACTACGACAGGCTCTTATAGAGGCCGTCCGTCCATTGGAGGAGCTTCCCGAGGAACAGAAGGACTACCATCCTGGGACGGACGACAAGGTTGTTGACCTGGTTCATCCATCGTTATTTCCTGTGATATATGGCCGAACACGCATCCTGCCAGATCAACTCATCAGTCTCGAAGGGTTTGCAAACCACCTTGGCCAGGGCCAAGTCCTCCCTGTCCGGCCAAAGGAGGAGTGTGTCACGAAGCAGAGTGACTACGACTACTGGTACCAGAGGCGCCCCCATCGACCCTACAGCCTCAAGTTTCAATGGCTACCCTGTGACGTCCACTTTGGACCAAACGATGAATGTCGAATCGCATCGTACATTAACAATCTACATCCCCGGCGACACCATGGCCTGTACCAAGTCATCGAAAAGATTCTGACGAGAACCATCCCTATGTGGAACACAACCTTGAGTCTCGTAGAAAACGAATATAAACGCATCCAATACTATGAAGTTGAGTATGATGACCATCCAGAACCCGAGCCGGAGGCAGCGGACGACGATGAAGATGATAGCGATGAATTCTGGGAGAGACACTGGGAATGGCGACGGAGTCAGCCCATCAAACAACCAGAACCAGGAAGCTTTGCCCCGCACCCTTTTTACGACCAGATCAACCTCCGCAAGGAATATGCCGAGCGAGGACTCCAGGTGATTGTCAAGCTGGCGAACATCGAGCTCACACCGGAGAAGCCCGAATATGAAGGAGGCTCCTGGCATATTGAAGGACAACTGGTAAAGTCTATGATTGCGGTTGATCAGTGGGCCTTTCTAATGATGAATAGAATGAACATATCTGTGCTACATCCATCTACTACTATGATAGCGAGAATATCACAGAGAGCACTCTTGCATTTCGTCAACGGGCGAGCTCGGGCAAGATCGAGGACATTAACTACGAACAATCCCGGCATGAGTTTCTTCAACAGGTCTTTGGCTTTGGGCCAGATGTGGATGGATCCAATGAATGCAACATCACTCAGTTACTGGGCAGCGTCGAGACCCGCCAGGGACGTCTTCTCACCTTTCCGAATATTCTCCAACATCGCGTGGCGCCGTTCTCACTAGCAGATCGATCCAAACCGGGCCATCGCAAGATCCTGGCGGTTTTCCTTGTCGATCCGCATCTGTCGATCATTTCATCAGCGAATGTGCCACCTCAGCAAGAGGACTGGTGGAGAGAACGACAGGAGCTCGTTGGCCGTTTGCTTGGGGAGAAGCTGCCGCCCGAACTGCAGGACATGGTGAAGAAGGAGTTTGATGCTTATCCCATCACGATGGAGGAGGCCAAGCAGTACCGAAGGGAGCTGATGGAGGAGCGTTCAACCAGGTTGGAGGAGCAAAACGAGAAATTCGAGAGGGACAGCTTTAACTTATGCGAACATTGATCATTATCGTCTGGCTCGTATAAAATTCGAGTGCCAGTGAGAATCGAAAATGCATTTGCTTTTTGTCAACTATTCTATCATTCTACACATTGACTACCCTCTAGAGAAACTCCAAACATGCCAACACACTAGACTCTTGAATCATATGAGATACCCTCTTCCTGGATTGAAAGCGACTCGAAAGGTCCTTCCATGTTTTTACCACTCCTCTTGCGCTCTTTCTCAGCTCTCTTCGCTTCTTTTCTCTCCTGCTTGATGCGCTTTTTCTCCTGTCTGCTGACCTTGGGGAATTCCGAGTCCGGACCTTGCAACACCCGACCAGGGTGGATGACATTCAGAATGAGCAGGGCGAGGAACATCAGCGCCGCGTCGAGGACATATTCGTATGCCTCGTGGGTCAGAATGGGGTTCGTCGGATCCGTGCCTCGCGCGTACTGGCATAGACGGAAGATGATTCGGACCTGACACCTGTCAGTATACTTTCCCATTCAGAACAAGATCACATACGGTTATGAGAGCCAAAGCGGCATATAGCGCCCAAAACAGCCAGCGCCAGGAAATCGAGCCGCGAGTGGCCTTTTCTTGGTCCAATTCCCCGTAGTTCTCCATCTGTACCATTCGACGGTGGAGGTGGATGGCCAGAACACCAAAGATCAGCACGAACAACTCCTGGAGTCCGATACCGCCCATGTAGATGTGGATTCCGAGCATGGTGGTGCTGGTGGGGACGTCGTTCTGTGTGGTGATGCTAGCGCCTGCGAGCTGGACAATAAAGGCTAGGACATCAAGCCATACGAAGATGAGTCCGTATCGGTTGGCGGAAATTCCACCTAGCCGCTGGTCAGGGATGAAGAAGTGGATGAGCCGGCCTAGGGTCATGTAGATGAAGGCATTGATCCCTGCATGTTTGATTAGTATCTCTTAAATTAGATGCCAGGAGGCTCTGCGTACACAAAGGCGCCAGAAGATATAGAATAGTGTGAGCACTAGCAAAGGGCACACTGTCCTGTTGTCGTGTTTGTAGAATCCGGAATACAAATGCAAGTAACTCCCAACTGGCTCCCATGATAACCACCCAGGCATATTTCTACCTTTGTTAATAAAGCATTCTTTCTTGGGCTTCTCGATGCGACACCAACCTTTTTGTAGATGAAAGCTTGAACGATGTGACAGAGGGTCGTCAACCCGAACAGGATCGTGAAGAAGATGGCTGCACCAAAGGATGGAACATAGAGGAGAATGGCATCACAGGCTTCTGGAGGCAGATAGCCATTTTTGCCTGGTTTTGGATGTGTACAGGTCTCGGTGGGAGATATGGCTGGAGCTGTAGCAGTGGGGGATATTGTTGCCGTTGTGTTCATATTGAAGATGTTTATAGATATAGTACTCAACTAGAAAGTCTTTCTTGTCGATGATATTGCGTGAAGGCCATCATGACTAGCAATATAAACTTATATATATCCATGGCTTCTGACGTTATTTTGAAGCCTGTCAGGCAGCCAGATAATATGATATAAAACCACTGACAGACATGATGCTCAGCCATATCAGCCTCCACCAGACATGACGGATCCAACTCAACATCATGATTTGAATCTTCTTCTTCAGACCTTTCGATCCTTTGAGTGTGACAAGCGAGCAGGCCAATCAGACAGTATAGAAGAAGCTTGGCAATGACATATGGATACGAAGCCAAGTAATAAAAATAGTTCCAGGTGGACCGGCATTCACAATAGGCCAATCATGACAGATCTGACATTCAATTCATCTTCCACGCTGAATGGACAATTGGCGTTTGCTCGCATCCGCTAACTGGTTTAGTCTTGGGGCCTAAACGATCTGGCCTCGTTTCTTGACTTCGTCTGACAGGGTGATAGGCAGCCGCGTTCCACAACCTTGGATCCGTGGATAACTCCGACTCGCTTCTCTATGAGCAACTCGCTCGTGGAGTTTTGAGGTTAAAAGTGAGGAAGTATATGGATCGTGATCGTGGGACGCCTTATATGTGTAGAAACCATGCCTCTACGGACAGGAGTTAGCCGGTCTCGCAACGGCTGTCTTACATGCAAGTGAGTCGATAACAAGTAGTGCAATTGAAGCAATAATATTCATTCTGGTGCTAGGATACGAAGAGTGAAATGCGACGAAGAAAAACCCACCTGCCGACGATGTCGAACCACTGGCCGAAAGTGCGACGGATACGCCAGCCCCTCGTCTACTGCTACTCGCCAGTCGTCCAACCTACGTATCATTCAGTATACCTCGCAGGTATCGGAACCAATGAAGATGAGCATGTTCCCTTCGTTTCACCAGCCGCTAGCGGGGTGTGACTACCGTGCGCTGGAGTTTTTCCACTTCCAGACCGTCTCCTGCTTCGGACCCAAGGCCGGGGACTTTCTCCTTCATGCAGCCTATCATGATGCGACTGTGCGAGTGGCTGCCACTGCGCTAGGGTCTCTACATCGTGCCTTTGTGCGTGACGATGATGGTCCGGCCGTGAAATCGGGATTGACTCGGCATGCATTGCAGCAGTACAGTTGTGCCATCCACCTGGCTCTGAATCAGATCCCTGTAACTGAGGGACAAAGCACTGACAGCATCCTTATCATGTGTGTGCTTTTTTTCTGCTTCGAGAGTCTGCAAGGCCACTTTCGCAATGCTGTCCAGCACGGTATAGCCGGCCTACGGATCCTCAAGCAACGGGAAGAGCGCTTCCTGAACGAAGGAATCGTAGCCTGTCTTCCCCCGAGTATTGTTCGCTTGATGTTCGTCACCATTGAGAATCAAATGCTCGAGGTAGACTGGCAATCGTACCTGCCTGTCTCCATCCAGTCAACCCTTCTGTCTCCCTCCAGGCTGCCTCCAGTCAACCTGGAGGACACTCCGACGCTCCAACAACTCAGTGATTCTTTTCAGTTTTGTTACAACCAGTATCTCAAATTTCTATACCTATCCCAGACGCCCAAAAGTGTGGAGCTGGTCCAAATTCTTCGGCAGAACCAGGCATACTATGCCCAGATACGACAGCACATGCATGCCTGGTCAGCAAAATTCGACGCATTCCTCGAGGCTCATGTGCAGATCAACCAGAATGAAGCTGATCGCATGACAATCAATCACCTGAAGATGTGGCGGAAGATGATCGGCATCTTCCTGAATATGGATGCGCCTCCCTCCCACGGTGGTCTTGATCGATTCGCCTCTGAGTTCCGGGCGATCTTATGTCTGGCGGAGGATCATATCAATTCCTCTGCTGGTACACCTGCTTCAAAGTCGAAACCCTCTGTCAGCGTCCAACCAGCTCGGCAACAACAAAACACCCTTCCTCCAATCCTCCCCAAGGCTGAAACCTCCTCATCATCAAGTATACCACCCTCCTCCTCCTCCTCCTTCGTTCTCTCGCTAGGGCTCGTCCCCCTTCTCTGGATCGTCGCCACATCCTGCCGACATTCGCAAATCCGCCACCGAGCCATCGACCTGATGAGCCGCAGTCGCCGGCGCGAAGGGGTATGGGACTCGGTGCTGTTCTCGAAGCTGGCGCGCAAAATGGTCACTATGGAGGAAGAGGCTGCTGGACTCGCGAGGGGAGCCATGTACGAGCCGGCGGACCTCCCTATTTCGGCCCGGACTAATGCTGTTGCTGGTGAGTTTTGCGAAGGTCGACAGGGAAAGGTTGAGTTCTTTCGGGATGAGACCAAGCTCTGGGAGGAGGTTATACAGTGGTGATATGACCTAACAATGCTCGTACGCTATAATGATAGTTCGAATGATATCACTAGAGGATGGATCGATTTTACCCGGAATGACTACTTTTGTTCCTGGCTATGGATGATGGATAAGCTATAGGGTAGCATCGTATAAATACAAACCATCATCCTCTGTCAGCGTCACAGGGCCTGACTGCCGTACTACAGCATGATTGCGGCATTATATGCTGATCTTGCAGGTATACGAAGTCGTACGGTTCTGCGCAAACGCATTGATCAGACTCTCAATAGCAGCATATGCGCCGAGTCCCGCCAACGCCAATGCACCCAAGACATAGAAAATGTTGAAGACACTCATAGCCAGTTCCTTGGGTTTCTGCGCGAGGAAACCACGGACGACACGCCGCATGCCCTGATCGTGGCGGACGGTCTGTCCAGTCGCGGGGTCGAAGCCTTCCCCGTCTCGCAGGGCGGCGCGCTTCACCCAGTACGCCAGAGCGAGAAGAGGAGGGAAGCTATAGGTGAATTGCAGAATACACACGGCGGCGACTACCGAGGTCAACCCGGAGAAGTTGGGAATACCGGCGGCGAGAACAAACGCGATACCCCAGTAGATGGGCACCAGGATGACCCAGAACAGCTTGCCGCGCCGGGTGGTCAACGGTGGACACCGGAAGAGCTCGACCAAGACTTGGTTGTACAGGACTAGAGAAGTCAGTATGCACTAACACATGGAAAGTGCTGCAGACATACCCTTCAGGCCAATGTTTCCATACAGACCCGCCGCAATGGCCGCACTGAGCATGGCAAAGACGTTGCCGGCCGTCGAGATGTCGTACGAGCCGATCCCCAGGTAGCTGGGGTTAACGTTGTACTGGCCCTGGTAGCCGTACATAAACAGGCCATAGAACATGTACCAGAAGTAGATGAATGCCTGGGCCGCCCACATAGCCGTCAAAAAGTCCTTGGGTCGCTTCATCTCCGACATGAACTCCGGGAACACCATGGCACCGCCGTATGCGAACACGGCTTGCATGGCGCCACTGAGCGAGCCGACGAAGTTGCCCGCCTCGGGCAAGCCGCCGGACGTCTGGACGGGAGGATAGACACCATTCACCGGCGTGATGAGGGCCTTGTTGACGACTGCACCCGCCGACGCCGAGGCGGCCGCGAAGTTGGGGGGCGCGTTGGCCGCTCCGCCCATGGTGATGAACATGACGATGAGGTTGATCCAGACGGCAGAATTGGCGAGCCAACCATACTTCTGGAGAGTACGGACCTGGCCGATGAAGAAGCCGAACAGTGCCCACACCAGGCAGCAGATGATGAAGCACAGCTTGGACTTGGACACCTGGTAGAGCGCCTCACCGTTGGAAATGACGATCAGCCCGACATTTAGCAGCAGCTGGATGCTCTGCAGCACGTTGAACAGATACCGCATCCACCGGCCATACAGACGGAAACCCAGATCTCCGAAGCTGCGAAGGGGGTATTGGTATGAGTCGAGGCCCAGGAACGCTGACCAGAGGAGATAGCCGGAATAGGCAGCCAGGCCACCAAAGACAGTGTACAATGCAACTCCGGGACTATCTCGTCAGTACTTTTTATTTCTCTAGAGGGCGGACTTACTTACCCCCAACCCATGGTCGCAAAGGCATAACCCAGACCAAAAGGACCCAGAATGTCGGTAGTGATCAGATAGAAGATGGCTCCTCGGGTGGCCGTCCGCAGCGCCCGGGATGCATTGGTCCATTCCTCGTCGGTGATGGTCATTCGGCCGGCTGCATCGCCAGCGCTGAGCGTTTTAGCATCTTGGGACGTGTTTTCGGGCACCTGCTGGACACCGCCGGCCGACTTGGAGGGGAACATAAGGGACAGCCATCCCCGTTCCTTGTCGCCATTGGGCCGGGACTCTTCTTCGGCACGGGTCAACTGGGCGTAGTAGTAATACTCCTCGAAGGTGACGCTAGAATCATGCAACTTGCGGTGCTGCGGACGGATAGCAGCAGTGCTAGTGCCGTAGTCAATGGCATCAAAGGCCTCATGCTCTTTCTCATGCAGTCGAGGATCACCTCCATCGAGGACGACACTTGCTGGCTGTGCCATGACCGAGTATAATGGGCTGAAGAGGAAGAGAAGAAGAAGAAGAGTAGATGAGCAGGCGATCTTTGGAAGGAGGGAGACACGGAGAGGAGCGGCTGGGACGGACGGCTATTTATCTGGTGAACCTTTCTTCAGACGCACAGATAGCCGTCATCCGCAGACCAATAACGAAATAGTGGCATGGCAGGGAGCGAGAGAAAGTATAATCAGACGGGGTAGAGGTTAGAGACGGGTGTTCGCCTCCTGGCGATGATGCTGCTGCGGATAAGGTTTCCTATCCCCAGGTTCTACTCGTTCCATGGCAATCCAGAAACTCGGAGACAAACCATGCCGAGGATAGCCAAGGCGAGCCATAAATGCTTGACAATGCTTATTTGCCATGACAATGAGGAGTGGTGGGCCAGTGGGTCTGTCATCGAGATGAGAAGTGATATGCTAATATCGGCATACGAGGGGGAGTGAGAGAAGCGAGAGTAGGGAAAGTGCTCTGTACTACAAATGGTTGGACCACCTGATCCTCTCCATTGCATCAATCGATGCGCTACGATTCGTCAGAAGAGCAGTTCTTCAGCGCCGTGGAACAGTGGATGTAACCCTCCGCAGAGCAGGGCGTGCACTAGATGCCACTATCCAAACTTTGTTAGATTAGGCCAACCAGAGCGAAGAATCCCTCATTCTTCACGCTTCAAAAAACGTGTCTGCCTATCATCTTCAGACATCTGTCTAGGTCGAAACAGGAAGGTGTTTTAGCACGGATACGCCATGTGTTCCCTGCATTGCGCGCACAAGCTTCCCCTACCTCTTTTTGTCAAGGAGCTGATCGGAGTTTGTATCCACTGTCAATTGCCGTTGACAAGAATTGCTGATCCAGTAACAGGTCATGCTGCTCATTCAGAAGCCAACTGAGATGCAGGGACAATTGAGCAGGCTAGGCTGCGCGGTCCTACTCCGCATGTTTCGCGGACATATATATCTAGTAACTACTTCGGTGTAGACATATCTTAACAGCCGGATAAGACATGCCTTGACAAATCAAATTGCCTGAGCAGAGAAGATAAGACGGTCCACAGTATTGCTAGAGTACTTTGGCTTCGTCCCTTTGATAAGGGAGCCTACTCACCGTGCTCACCGCGGCTGAGATTGGCCGTACGATATCGGCATCAAGGACGGCAAGATTGTCCTGCTAGAGGTACAAGACCATTATCTTATCTTGCCTCGGACGAGTCGGATCCATCTCTCCCTGCGAATGGGCCGATGTAGAAAGGAAGCAGCCAACAACGCATACAGCGGCTATCCTGAGTAGAGATCTACATGGACCTACGACGCCTATAGCTACGCGACAACCAGATCCTAGAGAGCGAAATCGTGCCATAGCTCTCAGGCAACTCCAGACACCCGTCCTCACTGTCCATGTTTTCTCCTTCATAGCTGAGGTGTACGCAGACGGACTCCACGTATGCAGAGACGCCTGCGTACCTCCTCACACACGGGACGCCCCCGTCTCTATAGTATCTGGTGAGGATCGCACTGAACGACTCTTTCCTCCGACCACACCTGTTTGTGTACGACCATACGGTCAACGGCATGAAGGCGGCAATCCGTTACATCCTCGACGAGTTGGATGGTCTTGAGCGGAAATCGACTGATAGCGCAAAAGTTCGCGGCCTAACAGATCTGGTATCCTTCCCTTGAAGCCAAATCCCATCACCAACAGTCTACTGCATCATAGTGTCAAGTACCCCATTCGAGCGGATGACAATATCCCCACGGCTGCGATACACGTTGCGTGGAGGGAGGTGGTCTAGGATCGCGATCATGGTGGTATCGTAGGTGAAAGGGATACAGGCAATTTGAGCGACGCGACCGGAGTAAAGTTTGCAAAAGCCAGTCACCGTTGGATGGTGAGCACTTCTGAGATGGAAGAAGAGTCGGATGAGATGACAGCGTTGACGAGGTCGAGCTGGTTGTTGGACGTCGTCAGCAGGAAATCCGGGGTTCTGCAGCAGTGACCGGGATGTTTTATTTCATGTACTGATACCAATTTTCTGAATTGTGATTGGGTCATGTGGCGTATCTTGTGTAATTGTATTACGACTGCCGCATCGGAACGAGGTCACCTGATCATCGTTACTTGCTTGGTGCCTGAGGAATCCAGAGAACCGGGACGGCCTTTGTCGTGTTACTCTTGTTCCACCCGATCATTGAAATGATGCACCTGAAAGAGCTCAACCTTAGTATTTAATTGCAGAACAATTTGAGTCGATTGCCTAAAACGGATAAACCATTGTTGGAAGCGGATCGCCGAGATGGTGAAGCAGCGGAAACAACAGCCATGGACGAAAACGGACAGAACAAGGCTATCCGTCCAAGAAGTGTGTCAAGACTAAAGAATGCCCTTTGTGAGCTTTGTACCACTGGATGAGGACGATATAGACAAGGGAGGAAGACATCTACTCCATTTTCTACCGTCTGCCTACAGACTGTCCTCGATCAACGTCCTTCTTGCTAAAGTCCAGAGCTTCTGGCCAATTCCTACTCCATGGCCGTCGTCATGACGCTGTGGAACTCCAAGGTCATCAAGATCATCGCCGGATTTCTGTGTAGCATTCTGTTGCTCAATGCGCTCGTCAGCAATGGAGTCGACTACACGGCAACGCGACATATGATCCGCGGCGGCCATTCTCGTCGGGCGGATGATTATCTGTATGAGGCAATTCGAAATGAGACACTAGGAGTACGCATCTCAAGCTGCTATTGTAGTCTTGTCTAACGTGGTCTAGTTCGAGCATGTCTATGCCATTGGTCTTAGGGAGCGTACCGACAAGCGCGATTTCCTTGCTCTCGCGGCCTCGATTGTCGGCTTTCAGGTGGACTGGTTAGAAGGAGTGAAACCAGACGAACTCCATCCAAAATCGCTTCCTCAGGTAATTATCTTTGCTCCTGTCGGGTTTGCTCTCGCTCATACTGATCCAGGGAATGAACATGACTATTATCAAACCTACGGTTGCAGCCTGTTGGCGAGCTCATATGAATGCTCTTCGCACGTATGTGTCATGGCACTTGGGACGAACGATTCATACTGAGAACTCGCAGAGTCGTGGAAAAACGGCACGCAACGGCCCTGATTATGGAAGACGACGCCGACTGGGATGTCTCGCTCAAGCAGCAGCTTCGTGAATTCGCCCGAGGACTCCGGACGCTTTCGCCAATCAAGACCGCCTCGAAACAAGCCCCTTATGGTACCGATTGGGATCTTCTCTGGGTCGGGGGATGCTCAACGGCAGCAGGGGTTAATGAAACCCAATTCTACGCAATCCCCAATGACCCTACGGTCCCAGGGATGAACCGCCGCAGCTTCTGGGTCGACCGGCGGGGGCCGCTGGACCGGTGGAAGCACCGATTTCCCCAACTCCCTGAGGAGTCTACTCGATATGTCTATCGTGCAGACACTGGATGCTGTCTTTATGGCTACGCTGTGACTTACAATGGTGCCCGGAAAATCCTGGCCTCGTTGTCGGTGGACCACCTGGAAAGTCCCGTGGACAATGCCCTGGGCGACATGTGTGGAGGCAGGAAGCGTCCTCTGATCCAATGCTATGCGCCACATCCAAACCTGATTGCGACGCATCGACGCGCGGGCTCTTCCTTCAAGGACTCGGATATTGAGACCTACGGACAGGACAACTGGCATCCAGATGAGGCGTGGGATCTGGTGTACAGTACGAAGCTCAACCTACATCGGTTGCTTGCAGGAAATGAGACGGCTATGTCTCAGTGGCCGGATGATCATAAGCCATGGTCGCCGGCTGAATTGAAGGTAAAGGAGTTTCAATATCCGCAGGGGTTTCATGTTGCGTATTCCGATGATGTTTAGTAGAGCCTGTATGTTTAATTTAGATTTGTAGCTGCGCCGTGTAAAATACCGCTCGTCAGGACTTCTCCATGTAATCAGTTATATTTAGTAAGAGTTTTGCCCTTAGCAGAGATGCAACATGAGGTTACTTGGACCATATCCACCGCTGCAACCCCTCCGGATTCGAACGACCTGACCCGCCTGCTAGCTCTAACCAATGCAATTTACTTGTCTTTGTTTGATCAGACACGGACAATGATCACAATTTTCCATTGATTGTCACGGATACTGGATCTTGGGTGTCATCGCTCCACTCAACCCAAGCCGTCACGGTTCCAGGCTGTCTTCCATATAGTCCTCTTCAGTAAGTCTCTCACCTGCTTCTCGGACAATATCTACTAAAAATGTCTTACGCGACTACTCTTTCTGAAAAGGCTCCAGGGGAAGCGGTCCAAACTGTCAGTTTGTCTCTATCCGACTACGACGCAGATCTCTCGTCGTCCTGCTACACGGAAAGTCCAGATCTTGAAGATCGAGAGAAATATGCCGGGATACTAGCAGATACAAAGAAACAGGACAAGGCAGCCCCAGGTCTTCGGTTCATGGTATGGACGGCAATCAATGTCGCTTCCACTGTTGCCATAGTATGTACTGTGCCCCCCCTCCATGGAATCCTAGACTGACCAGTAAGGTGTTCACAAACAAATACGTCCTATCCGATATATCATTCCGCAACTGCCAGGTCGCCTTTGCTGCATACCATTTCTTCATAACCGGGGCCACATTATGGATCATCTCTCGGCCACAGTGCGCTGTCTTCGCACCGAAACATGTTTCGGTGGTGCAGATTATCCCCTTGGCAGCAGCGATGTGTATCCAGGTGATTCTTCAGAATCTCTCGCTTGCATATTCCTCCGTTATGTTCCATCAGCTGGCTCGATTACTCTTGACCCCTGTTGTTGCCTTGCTCAACTACATGCTCTACTCGACCAAGATCCCCCGAAGGGCCATCTCCCCTCTCATCCTGCTGTGCTCCGGCGTGGGAATTGTCTCGTACTATGACTCCCTTGCGATGGACAACGCGAGTACTGCGAGTACGCCATCATGGGGAACATTATTTGCCCTTGCAGGCGTCTGCGCCAGTTCAGTCTATATGGTATGGATTGGGCAGTACCACAAGAAGTTCAAGTTGAATAGCATGCAGCTTCTTTTGAACCAGGCACCAGTCAGCACCGTTCTGTTGCTGCTCACTGTTCCATTCACTTCGACACCGCCATTGGGGGCTGTTCCAGTGTCCATGTGGATTCTAATTCTACTGGTATGACTCTGAATCCACCTCCTTCCTCGGTTCCTCCTAACCAGCCACAGAGCGGCATCTTTGCTTCCTTGGTGAATCTCTCGCAGTTTTTCATTATCGACCTGGCGGGACCCATCAGTGGGACGGTGGTCGGTCAACTCAAGACGTGCATCATTGTCGGGCTGGGATGGGCTTTCAGTACGCATCCTATCTATTTTCAAAGCATTGTTGGGATTATCCTGGCGTTGGTGGGCATGAGCATGTAAGTCACCAAGCTTTGATAGAGATGATTCGACTAATACGTACAGATATATGCGGATCATTATTCGAGAGCAGAGGTAGTACCCTTAGGAGAGAGGATAGAAGTATTCATCAATCATCATCATATAGCAACCTGCATATCCAACCGAGACTGTTACTGTAGATGGACGTGCATACAGAATGCGGCCAATCGCGTGCATGATGCGTAGGTCTCTCTACCCCTCGACTTCACGACGACTTCTTCCAGCCATCCATCTATTCTCATCACATAGAGGATCATAGAATCCCCATGTCCATTTTATGACTGCCAGATGATATCCTCTTTCTCTTGGCTGAGAATCTGTCGCGAGAGAGGGACATCAACGCCCTTGCGCAGAGTAGCCGTTGCCTTTACCCACCGCTAAACCGATTCTTCTACCAGTATAATATCCGACACTCAAACAGCTCCGCTCTCAAATGGGGTGTGTATGTCGGCTGCGAGGGCACCGTTAGAAAATGCCTAGAGCTAGGTGCGCCTATTGATGGTAAACCTAAGACGGACCCGAACGATGAGGACGAAGACATCGATGAAGACATAAGTGAGACACCGCTGGTGAACGTTGCAGCCGAACGAGGCTACGATGGTGGCTTGAAGTTCTTACTGGGTTATGGGGCCAGCGCGAACGAAAACCGCCAGTTTGCTCGGGTGCCCCTTTCCTTGGCTGGCCAAAATGGACACGATGCGGCTATGGGAGTGTTGTTAGCCAGGGAAGACACAAAGGTTACCCTGCCGTCCACCCCATTCAGCCAACAACCGCTGCACTTCGGTTTAGAACGAGGGTCCCTGGACTGTGTTCTCCTCCTGATCGAACGAGGGGCAGATCTCCAGCAGTATGAGTCTACAAGCGCCCGGGCACTCCATTCGGCCATTAGAAGCGGAAGTCAAGCTCTGGTCGACTTCCTCATGAGTCGGGGGTGTAATCCACTCAGCTGTTGTGGGGTATACGTCTCTATCGCTTGCTGCAGTCATGGGACACCAGCCCCTGGTCCTGTACGTTCTTGCGCATAGAGTAGATCCGGATATTCGGGACCGTACCAGATTCACTGCTCTCGGGCACGCGGCCAAGGAGGGTCACGCGGATGTCGTCGAGACGTTGCTTGCGTGGGGCGTCGGACAGAAAATGTCGGGGAGGACGGAGTGACGGCTCTATGCTGGGCGGCCAGAGAAAACCACGAAATGGTGGTTGATGTTCTACTGCGGCATGGAGTAGATCCAAGCTCGCCCAACTCTGGCGGGATACGTCCCATCCACTGGGCGGTCACCAACGGTTCCATCCCCATATTCAAGGCGCTCTCGGCCCGTGGCGCCAGGATCGACATTCAAACTGACGGAGAAACACTCCTCCATATCGCTGTACGGCGCAACGATCAGCCGCTGGTGGAAACACTCATACAGCTAGGGACCGATGTAGACAAACCAGACAATGCGGGCCGGACTCCTCTAACCGTGGCTGCCGGGGGCGGTCTTCTCGAAATGATGGAGCTCTTGCTCGCCAACGGCGCAGACATGACTATCCGTGATCAGAGGAATTGAGCACTGCTGCACACAGCCCTCTGGAGACACCAAGATGAGGCCGTCGAATTCTTGCTCCGACGAGGCGCTGATCCGGACTTCGCAACTGAACGTGGTCCCGATTGACTCATCCACGCAGTTGCCGTTCAAATGGTCCGGGCCACCGCGATATCTCCTGGAAAATGGTGTTGATCCCGACCCTGTAAGTCAGTCCGGGCGTACCCCGCTTCTTATTGCCTGTGAGTTTTGCACGGGAATGACTACAAGATAGCTGAGATGCTGCTCCGGACAGGCCAAAACGCGGAAGGGCGCAAGCCCACTATGTGCGCGACCGGGGAAGAGAATCCTGATCCTCAGCTCGTAAGGCTTTTGCTCGCCCACGGGACAAACGCCAATGATAAAGACGAGGACGGGTGGTCTTGTCTTGCGAGTGCGTGTGCGGCGGGGAACGAGGAGATCGCCAGGATTCTGGTTGAGGCTGGGGCAGACCTTGACACCAGAGACAGCTATGGGCAGACTCCTTTACATCAGGTTCGCTCACAGAGTCTCCTTTATGAATATTTGCTGGAAAGGGTGCAGAGCTTTGATATCAGCTGTGCCTACACCGGGAATAGGACACATATATGAGCATAGTTATAATAGAGATATGCCGACTTATGGCATGTCTTCATAACACCAAAAATAAGCTAATGAAGAGAGAAAGTCTTCTTGTCATAAATATCAAGTGTGTTGGCTGGCAATGCAGCATCCAATCCATGCCTCTGTCGATGTCGGCTGACCTGCATTCTGGTAATTTCTTCATTGACATACTGTAGAGAGGTACGGAGTACAGAGTACAGAAACAAAGGGCACAGGTACCTGCCGCATTGTCCTCCAATCATAAGGATCTATTGAATATTCTTCCTGGCACTAGCCTGAATAGGCAGCTCATTGGAGAAAGCTTAGCGGAAGAAGAAGGAAACTTTGAGGTCATAGTGGCAACTGGTTGGCAACACAGTATCATATCGACATCTTCACACTGCATTCGATACAAGTTCAAGCTGAGGATTCGAATACTCATACTTATTCCTGCTATTAGCACTCTAATACTCTATAGATAGACGTGTATATTCATAACTTATGAAGACAGGTACAAGATGCCAAGAGAGTCAGGCACTTGGCAGCATGATTAATTCTTTTTATGTAATTCGGGCCAGATCCTGTTCCTCCCACGCACTACCAAGGTCCACTACCGTCAAGTTATTCCAGTCTCATTGGTTCGGCGCTTTCTTCATGATTCCAGGCCACATGGGGAAATCCAGCACGAGAGTGGCCACCGATTTTTCCATCCGCTAACCATGTTGGGTCAATCGGTTGAGAGGTTGATGGTGTATATATAATGGTGGTCTGGGCCTGAGCAGTGCCAGACCTAGGTCTATAGCACTGAGCATTAAGAATGTTCACCAATGACCGTGGGGACCAGGATTCCGGTAAGTGTCTGTATATACAGATGTTCCATCACAAGAACCTCTACTGACAGACCGGCAGTGAGTTCAGACGTGACCATCGTCGATTGGGATGGACCAGACGATCCAGAAAACCCTCTGAACTGGTCCAAGGCGAGAAAATGGCTCATCACCTGCATCTCGCTGCTCATGACGTTCGTGTCGCTCATGAACGGCACCATCATCACCGTCGCCCATGAAACCATCAACGAGCGATTTGGGATCAGCGATGCCGTCTTCCCGCACTCGTATTGGCCTGTTACCTCCTGGGCTCTCGGAGGCGTCTTCTTCTCTCTGCTCATCCTCCCGATCATGGAGGACTTTGGCATCCGACGGACGTTCCTCCTGACGCATCTCCTGTTGATCCTCTTCGTCATTCCGCAAGGCGTGGCGCAGAACTTTGAGACGCTGATCATCACGCGGTTCTTTGCCGGCGGCTGCGTCACCGTCATCGGGAACAGTGCTGCCAGCGTGATCGGGAATGTGTGGGAGACGGAAAAGCAGCGCAGTAAGCCCGTCAGTCTCTGGATCTGGGCCTATCTGGCGGGCAGCAGCGTCGGCCCGGTGATTGGAGCGCCCATTTTTCGGTTTCTGTCATGGAGATGGATCTCTTATTTGCAGTTGATCTGGTACGGGGTGTTGTTCCCAATTAACTTTCTGGTTTTCAAGGAATCGCGCGCTGCGATCATCCTGCACCAGCGTGCGAAGCGACTACGCGCCAAAGGCCAGAATGCATATACTCGCCAGGAGCTCGACGCAGAGCCTCTCCTGCAGCTGCTGGCCACGAGCATCCAGCGGCCCCTCAAGATGCTGGTCACCGAGTATGTCGTCTTCTTCTCAACGCTGTGGTCGGCCTTTACCGTCGGCACTCTGTACCTCTTCACCCAGTCTGTGGAACAGGTGTTTGTGGGACTATATGACTGGGGTCCTGTTGAGGCTGGATACGTCCAGGCCGCCATTGTGATTGGCGAAGTCGCCGGATGGTTCTTCTCCATCCCCTCGGCCAAGCTCTACTTTGCTTCTGCCCGTCGCAATACTGAAACACCTGGTCTCCCCATCCCCGAAGCACGGCTGTACATGTCCGTAGCCGGCAGCGTGGTTGGCATTTCCGGAGGCATGTTCGTGTACGCGTGGACCTCCTATCCGACTCTGCCATGGATCGCCCCTGCGGTGGGACTCTTCATGGTTGGCGCAGGAAGTGTCGTTGTGGTGTCTGGACTGGCGGACTACATCGTCGATGCGTACAGCCAGTACGCCGGCAGTGTCATGGCATGTTTCGTGCTGGGGGAGAATACCTTTTCAGCGTTTCTGCCGTTGGCAGCCATGAGCATGTATAACACGCTGGGGTTCCAGTGGGCCAGCACGCTGCTGGCGTTTATCAGCTTGTCTCTGGTCGTCGCTCCGATTGCGTTTATTGTCTGGGGGAGGAAAGTGCGCGAGAAGAGTCCGTATATGAGGGAGGTGATCAAGGAGAAGAGGATGCAGGCTGGCTTGCAGTAGTTTGCCATTCAGTTGTAAATAATAGACTCAGGTGTATATATCTTCACAATAATTTCATCCGATAGATTTGTGCAAATCTAATTCCATCTTGCTTTGGTCAGCGTCAAAAAAGGACTTGATAAAAATATAATGCCTCCGGGGAGGATCGAACTCCCGACCTTGAGATGGCTCAGAAGTGGAAACTTTCTGATCATACAGTCATATGAGACTCACGTGATAACCAACTACACCACAGAGGCATTTCTTAGTTAATCGCACGTTTTTTATGCTACATAACACACCGCATACTCGCTGATACCTAGCACCCTCTGGTAGCTGGCTGAGATGGGATACTACCGAATGAGGTTCATGACACCGATTCTACAGCAGATCTCAAATGTCGGCTGAGCGTAATAGTCAATCTGCTCCAGGGATAGGATAAGCTTGACCAGGCAGGCGTAGAGCTAGACCAAGTCTGGACCGTTAATCGATATGCCAACTCCAATCCCAATGCACTTAGTCCTTGCCGGCCATGACCCGTTGAGGTAATGAGTAGCTGAGTTTTTGATTGGAAATCCCCGAGTTTCGTTTACTGCAAGCCGAGGAGAGAAAACAAAAGCTGGATGGCGATGGCTGCGCAGGAAGATATGCCACTGGTCAATGGCTGAAAGCTAGTATTGCACTGTAGGCACGAGGCACAAGAAAACTTACCACAGATCGCCTATTATGTTTGATTGTTATGTGGTGTTTTCGGTAGCCAGTTCAGCTAGGCTCCTTCCAGCAACCATCGCCCGCCAATAAGCAATGGCCCGACTTGTCAACCTCTAACCTTTGGAGAAGGATTGCTCTATTGCATGCGACAAGAATAATCTTCGTTAGCATGCCACCCTAACTTCTTCAGCTCAGTTTATCTCAGCCACTACGAGACTTTTAAGCGCTCTGCTGCAAGATTCCCCTCCGGGAAACGCCACCACAAGGTCGTACTTCGGTGCCGGCGACTCCGTCTTGGACGTTAATCTATACGCTGAGATACCATCGCTGTCCTGAATCTGTATCTCATAATTAGCGTGCTTTGGCAAGAGCATTGACCGCAGTCAGTCCTGTCACTTCATACTATCGGGTGTACGCGAACCATTGGCATGCACCCTGGCGGCGGCGGGGTTCTGCCGTTCCTGTAGATCCCTGTCGACACCATTATCTGAATTTCAGCTCTCAGTGGTCTGTTTCCTGTGCAGTTATGGGCAAATGGTGCGATTATATCCGATCCAGTTCTCCATAGTTCATCATGAGAGTAACGTACGGAGTAAGCACTAGGGCATGGCGCTCGAAGCCTGAAGCACTGACATCAGCTGGAGTATAGTAGCGTCCTGAGTAGCAAACAAAATGATACCCCAGTCATAACCGAGAGTAGACATCCGCATTGGCCTATGTATTACGATTCCACTATATAAAGCGCAAATTCCCACGAGCATTGCAGTTAGTCTCGTATAGCTACTGCAGATTGACTTAACAGTACAGTCTTTCTCTATTGAAGGATATACTTCGCAGCCCAGCAGTTGTTAGCCTCCTCTATTCAGACCCAAGTACACTGGTTACACCAGCATCTTGTATGTATGCTACCACAAAGCTTCTCCTAAGAGTATGCTAACACTGGCAGCACTATAATGTCCTACACTATCCGTCTCCGTGTTGAGAACAGCACCTCCGACACCCTCACGGTCGTCGAAAAGACCTGCTGGTACTACGCTAACGGCTGCACCTGGACCGAGCAAGATGGCCAGCATGTACTCTTCATGGGAGGTAGTGGTACCTCTGGAATGCTTCGCTTCAAGTCCTCCTCCGGCGACTTATTTACTGTTGCGCTTGGCATGCACAATTACAACCCATGGCGCGGTTTGCTGGTGGACCTGCGGGAGGATGATACAGCATTGAAGTTGCATCCAGAATACTACAACGGCGGCAAGTTTTCGCACCTGCCTGAAGGGGTGTACAGCCTTGAGACTACCCATGGTGCAAAGGTTGCGGTTAATCTCCAGAGGAAGGATGAAAATGAGGTGTTTGCTGTTTTGCAATACTCCCCTGCAGATGTTGAGACTCTTACAGTAGTCAACCCGCGAGTTTACTAGTTTGCAGTAGGATAGGACAGCAGATGTATCAACTACTGGCTGCTTGTACCTAAGTCTGGATTTGAAACACTACTTTTACAGTCTGTGCTCAAACGTGCCAACAGTGTCTTGTATAGACAAACATGTATTCCAGGGTACCCTACAGCTTGAATCCCAACTGAACTGCTGCCAGATTTCTAGATGTTGCAACCAATGTGAGGAGGCTGTTGTTTGCAGTGCCGGAGGGGATGCTTATAAGATGCTGTGGGTCCATGGGATAACTGTGCCACGGAGCTGAATCTGACTGGGAATGTCTCTGTCTGGCTGGTTCTTGTTTATACTTCTGGTTCCGAGTGATAGGGTCCTTGTGTACTACATATAATCAATAGCATTAACCTAGTGACTATGATATGCACCCATATTCCACCACATATCATAATAATCATTAGCTATTCTCTTTATATTAGCCTTAACATTGCTATTTACTCCTCTATATCTTTTAGTGCCATCACAGCCCTAGGTTTAGCAGTCTATAAGTTTTACTTCTTACCATTAAGACTCTTAGCTATTAAAGAGGCTCCTTATAGCTTAATATAAATCACTGCTGAGACTAATATATTATTAGTACCATGGAAACACCATATAGGGGTAACCAATATTTCTTATTATCATAATAGGCTACGGTGGGAGGCAGAGCCTCAGATAGGCCATGTAATAGTTGCGATTTCGCGGCTTGATGATCAACGTTGAATGCTATTATAAAATGGGGTGACCTGAACTCAGGACTCTCTATATAGACACCAACACCCTTCAAGCTTGGCTATATCTGCATTCATCGTCTATAATGTACCTAGAACGAGGCATTGAAAAATGTCTGTGCCGAATATCTCAGTATGAAACTGCCTTCTCGTTCAGGAAAGCGACCCTTGAGCGAGGTTTCCAACTCCTGCCATGATGAGGATTCCGCGAGAAGCTGTTCAAACGTCTCAATATATGTCTTGGTCTCGGTCAAGTGATTCCTTTCATAGTTGTCCGTGGGAAGCGCATGCGATGGAATTACATATTGAGGATGCAGTCCAGCCACCTTGTCAATGCTCTTGAGCCACTGTGAACGGAGTTCCGCCGTCGGGTTCTCGGCTAGATACTGGTAGCAATTGCCATAGACAACGTCTCCGGTAATGACGGTCTTGACCTCAGGCACATAAAGCACAGTAGAGTTAACTGTGTCTCTCTCGCCGACTGGTACAGCTCGCAGCTCGTACTGTTCCTTATGATGGCCGTTTCCGCTACTCAAGTAGAAGGATAGACTGGTGGAAGGATCAAGTATATCAAGGTTGGCATCGGAAAGGTCCGGTGCCTCCAGATCGGGAAAGAGGGCAGCCCAGAATGAGGCGAAAAATCCAGGTTCGATCTGTTGGAGCATGTGGTCGTAAACGTCCTGCGTTGCCAGGACTCTTGCACGGGGGAACCGTTTTTGGATCGTGGGGATGGCGAAGAAATGGTCACCGTGGCCGTGGGTCACATATATCCCCGTGAGCTTCCGACCGGGAATGGTGGCCTGGATCCAGTCTGCCAGTTCCTCGCCGCGTTCAGGGGAGATAGGTGCATCAACGAGTACAGCTTCATCTTTGGTAGATATCAAGGCGAATGTCGTTGGTGAGAAGTTGAGATCTGTCGACTTCTGATACACGAGGGGTACTGGGCTCGCATGGTAGGTGTAAATTTGCAAGTCCCCCTTTTCAATGATGGGTTGAGTAGAGCACAGACATGTGTCGCATTTGGCAAACACGGTGCTCACTGATGTCGCGAGCAACAGCGCGAGAGAGGAAGGTAGATGCATGGTGGCAGGGATAATAAGATCTGGACCAAGAATGAGTACCTAAAAGCGGATAATTTGTGGATTTTATATAGCTCGAGTAGCTCAGTAATCAAATATATGTTTGTACATGGTGATCAGTTAAAATATATGATTTATGATCAGAACAAAGCTAAAGATAATTGATGATATCAACAGAATTTATCAAAATAAGCAATTGATCAGTAATCCAGGAGACAGCGTACCTTTGTGCAATAAGCTTGTCAGAAAGGTCGGGCGTATGGCAGTGTAGTTCATTAGAAGTCGCTATAGCTCAAGGGCCCTGGACACGACCTCATTTTCTTGGAGGAGGAACGCGTGTGGATTTCGGATGACAGCTAACTAAGTGTCAGCTTCGAGCCTCCATTTATAGTTGTAAGGCTTACACATCAGAGAAGGCGTTTGTGGCAATCTAACTAATCGCAAATATTCCGCATGTGGCCTTTCAGTGCGCTCGTTAGATGAAATTCTTGTTGCAAATCTCGACAGTACATAGTAAGGTCGCTCATTGGTACGGATTCGATAATGTCTGCTAAGGTCTGAGCTACAAAAGGACTTGTAACTCTCACCATAACAATGTTTTTATAGCTGTTTGCCAACCAAACAAGGAATAGCTGTTAACAGCCCATGGCCAAGCCTGCTGTGTCAGCCCTAGTGATGAAGATCGTCAGGGATCAGTAATCTCGATATCGTAATTATCCAGTGATCTGTGCAGGGGATCCAAGTTCATTGTCTTTTCTGTTTGTGTTGAGTAATCATTTAAGTATTCCACTGCTCGAAAGGAAAATTGGTAACCCACGAACCACCTTTGGTGACTAGATTTTGGGGAGCCTAGAACCAAACATAAGGGATGAACATTGTTTGAACGCGCTCGCTGACGCCATAGGACCAAGGTATGATCACCTTGTCCGCGCGGGTCAAGGAATTGCTGGTCTGTTTGGTAGCGGGAGTTGACGCTGATGGCCTGGTAGGGTGGATGGAGGATTTCTACTACCAATGAGTAATCATGAAAAAAAAAGCCAATCACAGAGGACGATACCTCTCTGTAAGCTGTAGGTAGGTAACACCAAATCGTATGATCTCGTAAGGGCTTCCTGGCTAGTAGTTTGATATTTCTTTCGGATTGCGGTATCTCACTTTCCTGGCGGATACGTTGTTCAAATCTTGTACAAACCTATACACATCCAGGAGAGGGTTTATATAACTAAACTTTAGAAAAAAGAGTAAAAAATATTCTCATTCAACTAACTTCAAGCCAAATTCTAGATCCGGCGCTGTTTTGTTCTAGAATCATGCCTCCTTATGGAATGATTTTTCTTCGCCTTACAGACTCCTCAATCTCATGATTACTTCTCCTTTTTCGTGACCTTGACAATCACCCGAAAATCCTGCCATACATGACAACAATGCGCATCACGGTCCCAATCAAATTCCTTGTTCTCCAGCTGGAAGTCATACTTCAACAGCAACTTGGCAATAGTAAGACGCAAGACACGTAAGCCCATAGTCTTCCCAGGGCAAGCATGCGTGCCCACTGAGAATGCAGAGAATGCCCCCAGCACATCTGCTGATCCAGAAGCCGACGGGTACATCCAACGCTCTGGTTCATAGCGATCTGGGTTTTGGAAATAATCTACAGAGCGGTGGATGGAATATTTGTCTACAAAGACTTTGGCCTGTTCATAACGAAAATATGTTACTTTGGCAGTCCAGAATTCGTATTCCATTTCACAGAAAAGAGAGGGAAAGAGACAGACTTACCCCCTTGGGCACGTAGACGCCATCTACCACTACGCCAGTCGAGATCCGGGCGCCGACGTCGTTGACTGGAGGCTGGAGTCGAAGGCTTTCCTGGAGGCAGGCGTTCAGATATTGGATCTGGGAGAGATCCTCATCGGAGACAACACTCTTGTCAGGAATCGCGAGCTGGAGTTCGTATTGGAGACTTGCAAGCATTCTTGGGCGTCGCAGTAAGTGGTAGAAGACCGCTGATGCGGCAGCTGAAACGGGGTCATATCCTCCGATTCTGTTCAATCCATGGAATTATTTAGTCTGCAGAACACGCATATCTTCAGGTGGGCAAAAAAGGGATTAGGACACTGACACCAGAAGACTTATATGTGCCATGCCGCGCTTCAGATCAGGACTTCCATTCGCGCCTTTGTTGGAGATCCCCAGTTTCTGTGCGACGATACTCTCTCTGAACTCTTTTCGATCTGTGAGCCTGTAGTAACGTGCAACAAGAAAGTAGATGAAATAATTAGCCCCTTATGCTCAGTCAAAGGGCTCAAGAATCTGGTGAATGGCTTACTCCTGAATGCGACTGAAAGTATTCACTTGCACCCAGCGCGTATCCATGAAATAACGGACTGTCTTCCACAGGATGGTAGCAACCACTGAGGCTCCTGGCAAACGGCCAACATAAAACATCAGATCCAATCCGGCAGTATACACATTATCCCACCTCCTAAAGGAATCAAAGGTCTCCTTGGTACTCATGGGAATTGCATGACCCAGGAAGAAGTGACCCATGCACTGCCATATTAGCCTATCGAGCCCGTGAGTAAGATTATACGTTTCCCCGCTGGAAGCCGCCTCATCCAACTCGCCTTCCAACTCCGCTAGATAAGTTCTATGAATCTCCTCCTGGCTACGAGCTGGGTATGTAGCCAGAATCCCCTGGACCTGCGAGCGGACACTCCTATGATCTGTCTGGGTGGCTGCGGACTGAGCAGTTGTATTCCCGATAACGACGTCGATCGCGAAACTGACGTTGTTCTGGGTTGGGGTAAATCCTTTGTTATACTCGTCCTTGTAGATATCGTCTCGTGCCTTGGGGCTTGCGAACGATAGCTCTGTTGGTGATATCCGGACTACTGGGCCTGTGATTTGGTTTTGTTAGACCCAGCCCATGCTCTCTGTCTAACTGGTTTTGTGTTCATCTGTAGCTTGCCGCACCATATTTTTCATGAAGACCTCGCAGTTTTGGAAGGAGTCTGCCTGAATAGCGCGCATGCATGGCCCATAGCTTTTATGTTGTAGAGTCAGTCAGAAGCCTAGACATCGAAGAGGAGGGGGATCACGCACTGGAGACGTTGCGGCAATTACTGGGCCCGGAAACTTCGCCAGCGGGTGGAAATATCGGTCGTAGATCACACTGATGGCTAGTATGGCCATAATGCTGATCAGCAGAATGGTCAACATTTCAAAGGATATTGGTTTTCGGTTGTACGTCCAGCTCGACGGTCTCAGCACTTAACCGCTGGTTAGAGTCTATGAAAACCAGCTGGGAACAGAAGTAGTGCAGAAAAGAAAGGTTCGCCCCGTGACAAGGCTAGAAATACAGGGAGTGGCCAATGCTTTCTCGTTGGTATGTGTGATCGCAATAATTGCTTTTAGTTTCTAGTACTTGGTTACGTGGCTCTCTTTCCTTCATTGGTGCAATTGTGGTGATACTGCAGGAGGTTAGGGCCAGCTACCTTGAAGCTCACCCACCTTATCATTTTTCATCACATCATCACATACTATTTTTGACGGTGTCTGCACTCGAATATGGCAAGACTACTTGTTCAGTATATCTGCTACTTGAGAGGAATTGTATTGTTATTGGGTTCAGGCTCATCTCAATCCTTAATTTCAAGCCTGCATATCTTTCATGGTAGATCAACATGATCACAATATCTGATTACTCATAAAGACAGCGCTCATAGGTCTATAACGAACCTCTTATAATTTATAACTTTTTTGCTTTTTATGATTATTAACTGTGATCCAGCGGAATTTTCACAGAATGTTGGCAAAAATCCTGCTGCCCAACGTCGGTAGCCTGAGATGTCGAGAATACAACTATATATCTATTATATACCCTTTTACGGACTCCTCCTGCCCCTGTATTCAAACCGGCAACCATGCAGACCGAAATCATCACAGAAAAGCCAAATATGGCAGATCCAGCCACCGAACCAACTGTTCGTGCAGCACACTCTGCCCTTGACAAGGCGACTCAATACTCAATAGAGCAAGTGAAAGAAGGCACCCACTGGTGCGGTGAGCTCCGTTCCAACCCAACAATCACAGCCGAATACGTCTTTCTTCAACAAGCCCTGGGGCTGTTGATAACCGAACAAGCAGCAAAGCCGCTTATCCAATGGCTTCTATCACAGCAAAATCCAGATGGGTCCTGGGGTATTGCGCCCAACTACCCCGGCGATGTCTCGACCTCCACAGAAGTATACTTTGCGCTCAAAATCCTGCAATTCCCAGAACACCACACGGTTATGCAGAGCGCTCGCGAGTATATCCGGAGTGTCGGAGGCGTGGCCAAAGTCCGCATCTTTACTCGGTTCTATTTGGCCATGTTTGGGTTATTCCCCTGGAAGGCTGTGCCTGAGTTGCCGGCGGAGCTTATACTCATGCCTGACTGGGCTCCGATTAATATATACAGGTTTTCCTCGTGGGCGCGGAGCACTATTGTGCCGCTTTTGATTGTCTCGCATCATCGTCCGATTTACAGTCTTCCGGCTCTGGGCAGTAGAGGGGAACCCGCTGCTAGCACCTTCTTGGATGAGTTATGGCTGGATCCGAGTATCAAGATGGTTCCTTACAAGCGGGAGCCTGCTTCCAGTACCAGCAGCGGGGGATCAAATTGGTTGGCAACGGTGTTCCTTGTTATTGACCGGATCCTGCATTTTTTGGATGGGCTCAGGTTCTTGCCGTTCATCAGGGGTTACAGTCGTCGCAGCTGTATCAGCTGGATTCTGGAACACCAGGAAGATTCCGGAGACTGGGCTGGCATATTTCCGCCTATGCATCTGGGCTTACTAGCCCTGACACTCGAGGGCTTTCAGATCACAGATCCCTCAATCGCCAAGGGCCTGGAGGCTGTAGAGAGATTTGCGTGGGAGGACCACCAAGGACGCCGCATTCAAGCCTGCGTCTCCCCGACATGGGACACAATTCTTATGTCCATCGCCTTATGCGACGCCTCCTTCACCTCCTTCTCTCCCTCCTCACACACCGAAAAGTGCAGAAAGCTCCAAAGCGCAATCGACTGGATCCGAAATCGCCAACTTATCACCCAACCCTACGGAGACTGGAGAGTCTATAGCCCCAACAAAGCCGCACAAGGAGGAGGCTTCAGCTTCGAATACTTTAACACCTGGTATCCGGATGTCGACGACACCGCGGCAGCTATCATTGCTTTTCTTAAGCATGAATCATCGTCATCTTCACCATCCCTCGACAAGACCCACCATTCCGTCACCCGCGCGGTGCATTGGATTCTAGACATGCAGAACAAAGACGGCGGCTGGGGCGCATTCGATACCAATAACGATGCGCTCTTCCTAAACAAAATCCCGTTTAGCGATATGGACAGCCTGTGCGATCCGTCCTCGGCTGATGTGACCGGCCGCGTGCTCGAAGCATTTGGTATTTTAGTTTTTGTGAGCCCTGATGGTCTACATGCACGTATCAGCTCCGAACTCTTGTCTCAGATTATGAGAGCTTCAGATCGCGCAATTGAATACCTTGCTCGAATTCAGGAGTCGAACGGGTCGTGGTATGGCCGGTGGGGATGTAATTATATCTACGGCACAAGTAATGTGCTATGTGGTTTGGCTTATTTTGGGAAGCAGGACAGCAACAGCAACGTTAACAACAGCAGATGTATTCCGGCTCTTACAACCCCTGCAGTGCAGTGGATCATGTCCATCCAGAACCGGGACGGTGGCTGGGGAGAGAGTCTAGAGAGTTATCGGTATCCGTCAAGCGATCGGCTTGAGATCGATAATCATCCTGCCACTGCATCACAGACGGCGTGGGCTGTCATGGCGTTGTTGCCGTATTACAAATTGGCACCAGATGTTGGCATTGCCATTGAACATGGGGTCCGTTATCTCATCAAGACGCAAACAAAACACGAAGAGGAAGGCAGCGAGAGCGGATCTGGAGCCGCGACGTGGGAGGAGACGAGGTATACCGGGACCGGCTTTCCCAATTTCTTTTATATTGGATACGCATTGTATGCACATTATTTTCCGATGATGGCGCTGGGGAGGTATGTGCGCATGGCTAGTGGGTTGAGGACTAGTAGCAGGGAAATCGCGATGTCCTGATATAGAGACGAATCCACGCATTAGCTGCATTGCACCTAGAATATGAAAAAAACGTAAAGTCGACGCTGGAAATGACTGAGTTGACGGCCGCATTCCCATCTGTAAGTTTCCCTCAGCCAGTCGCCGCTTTAGCACCGGAGCACTTGCACGACACCTCTATTCAATTGTTTGATCACTGTCCTGAGGTGACAAACCTTGGCGAGCATTCGCTCCTTTTCAACTCACGAACAGAAAAAATAATTTATCCCTTCGAATCAAAGTAACGGTTCTAGAGGAAGTTGGCACAGCTATTTAATATTAGAAAAAGACTGAGAAATTGTACATATATCTGATGGGCTAGATCTCTAGCAAATTAGCGCCTAAGGCCCCACAGTTCTCAGTTCAGAGACAACAATCTCGGAAGTAATTAATCCTGACCCCAGGCCTTTATTGAGGGGCATGAATATTTGAGATTTTCTGAGATGAGAAGATGAGGAAGAATAAAGCAAAAGGATTGCTTATTGAAGTGGTGTCAAATCATTTTAATCGCAATGATCATTGAGATGTAACCCTAGGCAGGCTGGCGAGCACGTCGGCCGGAGCTGCTGGACACCTGTTTAGCCTACCTTAGTGGTATTATCTAAGTATTACTCTGAAACTTGGCGAATGTGCACCGACCTACTATATTACTAGCTCCTGGTGCCTATCTCTGGCAAGCTTTAAGTTAAGAACCTGGCATTCCCTCTTCCATTTCTGTTAATCTAATGATATTGATAATAGCCATAATAATGCAGACCATTGCAAAGATCCTATTCCCGTGTCTGGTTGTAGTCCTTGCTTGTTGGCAGCTTCTTCCACTCCAAACAACAATACAAGCACAAACTTAAACACAAGCACAAGAGCAACAACCAGAAAGGGAGAGAATTGATTGTGTGCAACATGATCCTGAAGGTCACTTCTGGGTAGCCTATGGCTCCGGCCCTGGGGTGAAGGTGTTTGGGTACCCCTCTAAGGGTGGTGTCTATGTCCTGGATAACTGTTTCGGTGTAGAACTGGACTTTCTTGGACTCGACCGGTTCAATAACACCGAACGCCCGTCTAAGTTAGATCCCGATTGGCAAGCGAAAGAGGACGCACACTGCGACCGGAGTCAGTTACCATTCTCCTTTTCCCTGTCGTGCATGTCTAATGTCTAAAAGTGCGTCGCCTCGGCGCTACCTGGTGGCGAAGAGAATCCGATGAATTTTTGGAGCATGAACTAAGGTACTCAAAGCCTATGGAAGTCTATCTCAGAGTGGGCTGGCCAGCTGGAGGTGGTGTATGGGTTTTACACACGACATTGGATAACGCAGGAGATATAGGGGCAGCGCGGATCCATAACGCGCATGATATGGAGGAACGGTGCAGATGGATCGAAAAGCTGGGAGGTGTCTTCTATGCTGACCCCAAGGACTGCCTCTATCTTGATCTTCCTTGACTTCACTAGCATAGGTAGTGCATGGCTATCTTTGAGGCCTTTGGTGTGGACCGCTCCTGTCTCATCCTGGACGCTAGCCAGCTGCCATCGTCGTATTCCCACGTGCACTTTGCATTTGGTCAAATCTCGAGTGTCTATGATGTAGACCTCTCGGGCTCTCATGCGCAGTTCGAGATCTTCGCCAACCAGACCTATTTCAAGCGCGTTCTCTCCTTTGGCGGTGGTCCTTTTCGACTAGCCAGGATACTTATCCGATTTTCCGCGACGGTCACTGACGCAAACAGACACGTTTGGTCAAAACGTAGTTAACTTGATGAATCAGTACAACCTGGCCGGAGTGGATTTCGACTGGGAGTATCCTAGCGCGCCAGACATCCCCGGTATCCCCCCTAGCAGTCCCACGGACGGCTCGAATTATCTAAGTTTCTTGCAGACGCTTTGTTCGCTGCTTGCCCTCCGGCAAGTCTACTATCTCCATGGCTGCCCCGGCATCGTACTGGTATCTCAAGGGCTTCCCCATTGCAAACATGTCGGAGGTTCTGGATTACATTGTATACATCGCATTGCTTAGCATGGGACTAGTGAATAAGAGGTTTCAACCTCTAGGGTATAAAGTTCACTAGAGAACTCGGTTTACCCTTAAGAGGGTGAGACTAGGAGTAGACCGGGTTAAATAAGTAGTTCGCCGTTTCAGGGCAAAAAATTTTGAATAGTCACAGCAGGCGAGCTCGTGTCAACCCCAAAAAGATCATACAACTGGCGAAAAACAATGCTGTAACCCCATCCCTTGGACCTTCCCAGGCCTCGTTGATGAGGCAGGATGATCCAGATCAACTCACAAGTAAAATAAAGACTAGGCATCAAACAGCAAAACAAACTGCAGTGTGTTGATCTATACATTTCTAATTCCGCTGTTTACTCCATGGGTCTCAGGCTCTGGAATAGAATGAATATTGCGCCTTTCTTCTTCTTCTTCTGTCTCGTCAAACGAATATGAAGAAAATGGAGATAAGGGGCTCCCTTCAAAGAGAGAGAGAGCTAGCGTCGAGATACTATAAATGCGTAAGCCAGGGCGAACGCTGCTTTAGACAGATAATGCTTACAAGGTTATAAACATGAACGACTCATTCGCCTTTTTTACAGCGCAGGGAACTCCTATCGGTGAACTTACCCTGCAGTTATGTAAGTTATAGTCCTGCGCTGCGAAAATGAATGTTGTCAACCACCTGTTAAGATAGTTAGTATGCACATTAGATATTTCATAGCAATGTGCGGTTTGGAGATGACATACAAGTAAGAGAATGCAAAATCCACTGCGAAAATCACATAGTATGCCCATGTATATTGTTTCATATTTCGAAACAAGAAATACGACAGGACACTCGCAAGGAAAAACACAACCACAGATATGACCGACTGCAAAATTAGTATTCATCGTAATAAAAAGTCATTCCATGGGTTGACCCCACAAGTATTTCCCAATAGAGGGCATGCTGATCGCGTGGTCCTTTTGCAATAAAGTAGGACGAGATGCCCATCACGATTGCCGCACTTGACCACTGCAGAATCCTTCCGGAAACAAACATGAGCCCAACCGTTTTTTCTGAAGGCGATTTCATATTGGGTCTCTCCGGGAAGTACTGGAGAGCAAGTGAAGTGATTTTAAGTCCGTCTGGAGAATATAAAATATTCCGGTATTTCTTTGGACACGACGAGTAGGCTGATGAGCTAGCTCGACCTTGTGAGGACCTGGAATATATTGGCCGTCACCAACATCTAATGCCCATTTTACTCATAGATTTATTAGTAAAGATATGTCTCCCCAGACATTAAAAATGTCATCGATTGAGCACTACCTTAAAACCTCTGACAAGGGCGATCCGAAAGCTGGGTAATGACATCATACACTAAAAGAAGACTGCATTCATCCATTTCGAGTGAATCTACACCTATATTACCAAGCAGCCTTATATTTTGGATCATGTTAGCTGTTCAATGATCGCTGTCACAGGAAGACTGTTGTCACGATAAGACCCACGTGATCTTCCCAATGCGGCTACTTGTCCGTAGCTACTGATGCTTCTGCCGTTATATATATCTAGAATAATGTTCTTAAGGCACTTCCATTTGGACACAATGGAACATTGCCGGGTTTGGGGGTTGTAATCGGTAGTTTTGCAGTCATTGTCTCTTGAGTAAGCTTCCAGGCAGCTCGTACATGAAGATTGCTGTTTAAGAGGGCTCACACTGTCCGCGACGGTACCAAGACCAAAGCTTTCCCCAAGATGCATTTTGAATGCGGTCGCGGACCTCTTAACTGCCAGGCCCAGCACAATGCATGAGCTTCCTCCTGAAACTCAATTATCTTTCCGAACTAGACTGCCTAGTTACCACACAATGACTAACGACACTGAATACAGGATTATCATTCTCCATGATCGATCAAGTACCGTCGAGAAAAACCGGTTTCATAAGACCGTTTTCGAGTAAGCAATCTTTGTCGAACAGATGTGTCGTTATACTTTGTGATTTAATTGAAAATAGTCTAGTTGAATTAGCAACTAAAAAATAACTCAAAAACTGACGGGCCCTCGGATAGGAAGTCTTTCCACTTACCACCCACCGATACTAACAAAGACTTTGATATTCTGCCTGATTGATTTGAGATTCGTAGTGTCCTGGAACAAGGTTGCAGGAGTCGATCCGTCCATTGTCACCACTTGATATGTGCTTGGTTCGATGCACGCAGAAGCAAGATTCGCACTGAGATATCAATAAGACACTGTTGGAATCCCGGCTCTGCCGTTGGAGATGGGGCATAAATACTGTCAATGCGCCCAATGATAAATCTGTTGGGGGCCACCTTGTGGCAGGCCTTGCGAGCAGACCTCGATTCATAATACCCGATTATCTTGTTCTGACGGATGCCGACAGAAGCGCCACCGACTGGAGGCCTTGGGTTCAGAACGCAGTTGCTTTGGCAATTTTCTGTTGGAAGTCAAAAAAGTCCAGCTGGGCAAGCAACCATTCCCAGCAGGCGTTACATACCTCCACAGAAGTCCTTGGTTGTGCCACACTAGAAGACAATTTCAGCGTCATGTTCAGATTATTACTATGCTTCCACTGGTATTAGGGGCCACTTACAAATCCGTACTGACTGCAGCAAACATTTAGAGGACATCCCTTCCTAGAGTTTCTGCGAACTAGCCGCACTCAGCCTTTGCGTCACAGTTCGACACACATTCGACGCCGCAGTAAGTCGGACCACATCCGCAATAGCCACTTTTCCCACAGCATGCACCGTTGCTACATGGATTGCCCCGGCCACACTGATAACTGTCTCGTGGTCTCAAAGTGGTGTCCGCCGTAAGACTGGTTTCTTCTTCAAAGAAGCTATCGGACCGACCGGTTACCTTGATAATAGGAGGTTCCGATCCGCCTGACCAAGAACAGGCTAAAACCAGAAATATGACTGAAAAGAGAGCCCATATCTTGCTTCTAGCCTATTTTTTCCTATTAAAACACGAGATTGGGTGCAGTAACAAACAAATGAATAAAAGAGTCGAGGGGGTGATGTTGGACACTAGCCCTCTCAGCTTCCTACCTTGGATTGTAAGGCTAGTATATACAATTTCTATGGTTGGTGATGGACCCTCGGGTAGGACGCTATGGACTGTCCAGACCATATCCCCGAGGCTAAACTCCATATGGGCATCGCTCATGAACCTTGCCTGGTGGGATCAATTTTCAGTGTTACTTTGCACTAGTCTAGTGGGACTTAAAACTCAGGAGAAAGAGGCACCCGATTAGTATCGGAATGAGGGAGATTCGAGCTGTCTGATTTTCTCATGTTTCAAGTGCGGAATACCAAGAGTTATCAAGCTTTTCTATTTAGTTGTCTGCAAGACCGCCATTTTTGAAGACATCGGTGCCGGCAAAGCATTTTCCAATAGATAGATCACTACTGTCCCAAGAGAGTACAGCGATAATGTATGGTATCGCTTCAAGTCACATGTTACATTTTACCTCTACCTAATACCCCTATTATCGGAAGTTCTCCATCCTCGTTTAGTTCAACCAGCCAGTTGAGTGGGGGTCCAGTGCCACCCTGCGCTAGCCTAGTGGGACTAGATCTCAAAGAGGTCAAAGACACTAACAAGTGGGGAGATGAGCTAGAGGACTGTTGAAATGATCAGTTCTCCTCCTAATCATCCATGAGATTCCGAGGCAGCTAGAGCAATTATGTCTATACGTTGGCTATGGTACCGCTGTTTTTGCTATGATGGGTGACCGGAATATAGGTCTCCATGTGCATGAGGGGGGTTGAGCATCTTAACGTCCATTCTTTGCTCTTCATCTCACCTATGTTCGGTCTTTAATGCAAGATGTTTTTTTGAGCGGCTTCTCTAGTCGCCGGTTTTCCGGCTTGCCGATTTAGCGCCTGCGTCGCGCAACAAAACGAAAGTACAATCTCCAGAGTTTATTTTTCGTGGATAGAACCTATGTCCAATTGCAGGTTGAGAATATCTGTCCAGGCAAAGCCTCATTTAGGCTCGTACCTCTACATGGATACATAATTCGACCCCATTGGGCTGGAGCCACATACTACCAAGGGCCTTTAGCAGCAACGGAATTCTCGACAAACAAGACCTTGCCCAAGGAGAGGTGACTTTCCAAGTCACAGATAAAATACCCAACAAAATACTTCCTGTGGCTATCTATTGCCGCTTACTAGATGCCAATGACTGGTAACTCAGGTCAAAAACCTACTACTCCCGTGCCAGGCAGATTATTCACCCGTAATCAAAACTGCTGAACTTTGCCACAAAGACACCACAGACAGAAAACTTTGGCATCACCGCGTCGATTTCCATAACAAGTCCAAAAACCCAGGGTCAGCTAACAGCACAGTCGGTATGTACCGGAGAGCACGAAGTTGCACTCGCTTGCATCTTCATTTACCAGATAACCCTGGGACACTACCAGCCGCTAACGCTCTAGTTCACCACCAAATCCTTTGTCCTACTCTATCATTGCCTCTACCGAGGATAGCTGGTCGAAACCGATGCTATTAGGAATAGTGATCCTAGTTCTCGTCACATAATGAGAAATAGCGTAGATAGGACCACTTTTAGCTCAGGATTGGCTACCAAAATCGAACTGAGAGTCCGCTGAAAATATGTCTCAAATATAAAAGCTCAGTCATCCCCTCCTATGCAGATTTTGGATTGTTTTCTGGAGGAAGGCAAAGCCATTGTTGATTACCCTGGCAGGGCCACTGATCATGAGATTGCCTTCTTTGCTGGCCGCGGCCCTTCTGTGGCCCTATCAGGTCAGGGCCGCAGCCGTTTTTGCGCACTTCATGGTATATCACAGTCTCTATCTCCTCCTACCATACGTACAATGACAGGAAACTGACATGAATCACAGCTGATGAACGCGGAAAACTACACGATGGCCGACTGGCAAACAGACATCCAAGCCGCCCAAGACGCTCACATTGATGCGTTTGCGCTGAACATGGCTGTTGACTCGAGAGTTGCTGAAATTCTGCCAACTGCTTTCCAGGCTGCCCACGACAAGCATTTCTCATTGTTCTTTTCCTTTGACTACGCCGGGAACGGTCCGTGGAAAGCAGGTGACGTGGCCGCGCTCCTGGAGCAATACACGGCCTCGCGCGTGTATTACCTGCACAAAGGGCAATATCTTGTGTCCACATTCGAGGGCCCTGCGCATGCAGAGGACTGGATCGATTTGAAGCAACAGTACAATGTCTTTTTCGTCCCTGACTGGTCTTCCATTGGTGCCAAGCCAGCGTCGCAATTGGGTGGTGGCGTGGCAGATGCTCTCTTTAGTTGGGCAGCTTGGCCATGGGGTCCACAAGATATGGATACCTATACTGATGCCTCCTATTATCAGTATCTAAACGAGTCTGGATCAAAGCCATATATGATGGCTGTTTCGCCCTGGTTCTTCACTAATCTGCCCGGTTATGACAAGAACTGGCTTTGGAGGGGCGATGATTTGTGGTACGATCGCTGGGTCCAGGTTTTTTACAATCAGCCTGAATTCGTGGAGATTATTTCTTGTAAGTTCAAAAAGTCTTCGAGTACAACCTTGGCCTTGTCTAAAAATTACCAGGGAATGACTATGGCGAGTCTCACTATATTGGACCCCTCTACGACCATGCCATGGAGGCCTTCAGGATTGGAAAGGCCCCCAGTAATTTTGCCAAAGACATGCCCCATGATGGTTGGCGATTGTCTCTGCCATTTCTGATCGACATGTACACAAGAGGAACGGCTACGGTGACCGAAGAAAACATCGTCACCTGGTATCGTCTCTCCCCTGGTACAGCCTGCGATAGTGGCACCACAGGGAACACTGCCAGCCAACTGCAGGTGGAATTTGCCCCTAGTCAGATTGTGCAAGACCGCGTGTTTTACTCTGCTCTTCTGATCGAGCCTGCAACGGTGACAGTCAGCATCGGAGGCGTCGTGCAGGAAGGCTCATGGTAAAGATCATCTCAATACAATTTTAAACATTCCAAAAGGATACTGACTGACATTGTGCACCAGGACCTGGGCTCCGGATGGAAAAGTTGGAATTTACCATGGCAGTGTTCCTTTTACGGGAACAGGAGAGGTTATTGTGACCATCTCCCGCGACGGAACTCAGCTTGCCCAAGTAACCGGCAGAGCCATCTCGTCCGCTTGTACGGATGGGCTCTTTAACGCTTGGGTTGGGAGTGCAACATCCCCCGCCGCTGTTTCCGCAAAGCCGCCGTTATCGGTCTCGGAGCAGGCCTGTATCAACGGAACCGGTGCATACAACTTTGCTGGTCTCTGTGACTTTGCTTGCTCCTATGGCTACTGCCCAGTGACAGCATGTACGTGCCGGCAAATGGGCAAGCCCCTGACGGCTCCCAATTCCACGGGCGTCATCGGATATCCCATCGCAGGCGAGGATGCCAGTTATTCTGGCCTCTGCGCATTCAACTGCAACTTGGGATATTGTCCGAGCTCCGCTTGTGGGACCGAGCAAGTCCCTCTGGTTATCCCCACCGTCTCCGATTTCGCACCTCCTGCATGTGTTGCAGGCACTGGATCGGGTGCTCTTACCGGCCTCTGTAGCTTTGCGTGCAACTACGGCTTCTGCCCAATGCATGTTTGCACCTGCACTGCCCAGGGTGGCTTGGTACCAGCCCCGCCCACTACAGGCACCGGAGGTGCTCCTGTCGATGGGCTGGAGGACCACGGTCTTTGCAATTTTGTGTGTAGCCATGGGTATTGTCCGGAAGGCGCCTGTGTTGAGACCGGCAGTAAGAGCTCCGGCGAGGTCTATGTTCCTCCGAGCATCTGGGATAACGCAGATCCCAAGGTTCAATGCATCCCACCATGCAAGATCATTTTACCCCCGTTCCCACTGGGCTCGACGACGACGATTCAGTTCCCTTCCATGGTCAGTTCTGTCTGGACAAGGTCAGGCACCTCGACCGGCACAAAGACCACCATTCTCAGCGTCCCATCGCTGGTCACCGATAAGGTTCCCTTTTGGCCCGTTGTCATCGGTGCCGATACCTCCCCGACTGGATTTTATCCCCTTCAAAGCTTCATGCCGGAGTCGTCGGAGCTTGTCCTTTCGGGCGACGAAGCTCCCTTCTCGCCAGTACCATCGGGCAGCGCAACGCCGGCACCCGTCTTCCCAGGGGCCCCTTACACTATTACTTACCAGCCCCAGGCCACGAAGTCGGTTTCATTGAGCGTGAATGTTCCTTCTGTTACCTGGTCGAGCGCTAGTCCAACTGCAACCTGTACCAGCGGCTGTGGTACCGACAGTTGCAAACTTTTTGGTGGATGCGACGCGACAGACCCAATCGATGATTGTGGTCTCTACGGCTGTGGAGGAGGATGCAGCATTCAAAGCTGTGACCAGTCCTGTGGCGTCGCTTGCTCTACCGACCAACATCATCTTGGCACCGATAGCACCGGCAGCAGTGGAGGTGGTGGCGGCGGCGGCGGAGGGAGCGATAGTGGAAGCAGCAGCAGTGGTGGGAGCGCCAATGGCCAGCAGGCAAATCTCCCCATGGACTACGACGGGCCAAACGGCCTCGCTAATGGCAAGTGGAATCCGACGCCCATCCGTGTTGAAGATGCCGCGGCAGTCACGAGCGGAATGTCCGCCATTATGGCTCAAGGGACGCCGTGTTTCGAGTCCGCTCTGTCACTTTTGTCTGCCTCGCAAACGGTCCCGGCTGATCTGTATTCTACGGTCCATGCCTCCGCAACTTTCCTCAAGCAGTCCATGTCTACTCAAATCAGTGATCTGAAGGATAAGATCAAAGCTGCGGATTCACAAAACTTCGAAGCGGTCACTTCATGGTTTGACACCTGGCAGCACGATTTCGACGTCCGGGTTGACTCGATGATTCAAGGCATTGAGAAGCCCCACGCTGAAATCGAATTGCAAGTAGGACTTGGAAGAGCAAAAGGTATGAGACTGGCCATACCTGACATTTTGTTGTAATGGTTTATCTACTGTTCATACTGACCAATAACAGTCGACGTCGACATCTTCAGCGAAGCAGCGAGCATTCAAGCCAATGAAGATATATGCGAGATTAACCCAAGTATGGGCTCTAGCAGTCATCCCATTTACCGAAAGCGTGCAATTCCACCCTCATGCGCACCAGACTGGCAAGGGAACCCGGGCGAGCCTTCCAATGCAGCTAAAGTACCGGAATGGATTGGCTGCGACACGCGATTTGGTTTTGAGTACGCCAGCAGCGCCGACATTCTCGGTGCGATGAAGCAGGGAATAAAATACTTCCTCTCCAATGCGAGGGGCTCCCCCCGCCCTGATCAACCGATCTGGCAGACAGCCGCAAAGGCCGCATATCCCCACATCTACAGCAATAGCGACAATATTGTCTTCTCCGACGAATGCATGAACGCCGGAACCGACTATACTGGATTTATTGAGTTTCCTATCATGCCAGATGGGAGCATCTTGGAGGCTGGACGAAACTCTCGTATTGACGTTGGTGTACAGCGTGTTGTGTTCAAGGCCAAGGCGAACAGAGACCACACCAAAACTGATTGGGGTTATCTCTATTGTGGTGTGATGAGCCATTTCACAAATCTCCTAGAGACGCACATCATCGATGGTGAGCCGAGGAGGGTTTTGCCTTTCAAGCTCTGCGAGGCCGCTTGCTCATCTGACCTGGTTGGGCAATGCAGCTGGATGTGGACTTGAGGGAGTAAGTGTCAACCGAGGAGCGATTCGCAAAGATGGTTGGGAACGGGAAAGGGCGCTCTCATTATCACGGACTGACTCGGTTACGTGGTGGCTGTTTCTTTCCTCCATGGATATCTGATGTTGAGACACGGAGCGGTCAACTTTCTGCTAAGACAGGGGTTATACTCACTGACCCGTTTTCTCTTGTATTTTGTATAGTAATCTGTTTTGAGTGACCGGCGAGACCGTGAGTTAGTCCAAGTCGTATTCAGATGAAGTGGGCCGACGAGCAGAACAGAATAGACGACGAAAAGAAAAAGTCTTTATTTCTGGTATCTTTATGCTAATCTTGGCTTCCCAAGCGTATCTCTCGATTCTGTTGCTCGACTGCTTGCATGAGTTGCACAATTTTTCGGGCGTCCGCTCGTGTTCTTTCCATCAGCTCATCTTGCTCACTTATCCATCGTAACCGCGTTTTCCAAAATTCCCATCTTTCCAATGAGAACAATGAGTCCCCGTGCCATAGATTGGAATCTCCTTTTTTCAATTTTTCGAGGAGAGAAAGGTCTCGTTTTCCCACAAACCCGAAGATAATGTGCCCGGCAATATCAAAGAACGGAACCATAGCGTGCACATCAGCCTAAAATACGCCAGTCAATCATCGCAAATGCCATCATGGTCTTTCATTCTCACTCACATTCAGCATTTGCATATAATCAGTAGGGCGACCAGTGTCCCGATAGCGGTCGCCTTGCCACTGCGGCGGAGGTTGTTGGGCATGGGTCCATGGATCCTGCTCGAGGGCGAATACGATCAGTCGCAATGCCACGGTCAGCTCCCTGATATCGGGAGATTCGGGAGGATAAGCGGCAAGAAAGTGCGCATAAAAAGCGTTGGCGCGGTGGAAGTCAGTCCACCCGTAATAGGGATATGGGCCGTATCTCATCTCCCAACAGCCTTGAATGAAAGGATTAGTACAGGGCCGACACTGCGTGACATGAGATCTGCTGCCTAGGAGGAACTCTATGAAGGGCAGGAGGATGTGCAGGTCGATATCTCCGGAATTTCAAGTGGTTATGCCACGGGGAGCAAAGAAACCGACTGCACAGCGTTGGTCTGTTACGGGCGGAAGGGGGGAAAAAAAAGGGGGGGCAGGAGGGGGGGGGCGCTCACGGGAATATCTCTCCGACCAAATGTAATCAAATGCCTCCAAGGACCTCCAGGTCTCTAGACGGTCCTCGAAACAGCCGGTGCGGATCTGCTCCTCAGTTCGTTCCAGCTGAGGCAGCGCGCGGATCGCCTCAATTAACTTGAGAATGGCAGGCTGGTAGCGCGGCATGTCGATAGCAGCATCCCATAATAACCAGGAGACGCGTTCGCCTTTGTCCACGACGTTGCTCTGGCGCTTCTCGACCACGCGGCCCTCGTCGACGAGCGACATTAGTTGGCGAGCAGCATCCTCTGCTGCAATGGCATTGGCTGTGCCGAAGGACTCGGCGAATTCTCGCAAGGTTTGGACTTCGTCCAGAGTCGGAGGGTCTTCCTCGTCCGGGTCCGGATGGAAGAAGCGTTCCCACTCAGTGTAGTCGTCTCTCATGGATGGCAACGTTGGACGCCAGTTCTGAACGGGTGTTGCAGATGAAGGAGTCAGGGACTGTATCCTTCGGCCTTTTTAATGGTTCACGCTAGTGACCAGTTCTGAAGTGGATCCAAGTTCACCCGTACAAGTCGAACTTTCAACCAGACACACGGTTAATCCGGACACCTGCCAAGCTGGGCCCCGTCACAAATACTTGACGCAGGATATTTCAACGGCACTACAGAGGCATGTGGTGTTGTGGTGTGCGGGCAGTGGACACAGGGTGGTTGTGTGCGGGTTCAGGACTGGATCAATCATCAGCTTGGTATCCGCATGGCCAGTTCGCTGGCGTGGTGGGGTAGAGAAGGACGATTGTACCCTTGGCGGGGGTAGTATGTGGATGGGGATTGACAGAAATGCTGGCAATTTATTATAGAAGAAAGATAATACTATGACTTTGTAGATCTAAAAGAGAGTTTATCGGTAAATATGGGGCTCATAATTGAGTCTTCATCGCAGCACCTACTAACTAGTTCACTGTGCAGCTCCATTAACCAATGACTAAGCCATTTCCTCCTACGCGAGCGCTCTGTCCTATAGCCATCCCGCTCCCCGCTACAATGTTTCCAATCCAACTATGGAGGTAGCTTGAGAACACAGGGTTATTCAGGCTCTATAGCACAGGAATAGGATAGCCCGACTTCCTTGAGTTCGAATGGTGCTGGGACTCCCTGTCCTGGTTGAAAGTGAATGTAAAACCGGATTCAGATTCGGTCGATGCCTCGGCGATCAATGGCCGGAGATCCAATGGCCCCCTGGGATCTATTACGGTCCACTTTATATTTGGTTAGCAGTCTGCTCTCTGCAAGATCCATCCATCGCTGGTAGATGGTGTCGCAAACCTCGGAATCTTCCCATGGAACCCAACCCTCATAGGTCCCTCACTAAACGAATCACCATAACCCCAATCAAGAGAGCCACGGTTGCGATCCGCTAAGCCCAGGTCCATAACTGAGAGGAAATCCTGTAGATTTATCGGTCGTATGACTGAGGTTGTATCACGACATACAAGTTTGAAGATTTCCAAACATGCATCGTGAACCAAAAACCCATCCTTGTTGCAGTCTAGGATATTCGACCAGGGATCTTCGCCGTACGGGCGTGCATAAAAGAAGTGCCCGGACTGGGGATCAACATGTTGCCCCTATAAACCAATCTATTGGTTTCGTATGTTAGACAATAGGTGGAAGGACGTACGAGAGGCGATACCATAGGCAAGTCTGCGGAGTCCTTTTCGGTGAAGCGCTCGGCATCTGGAATTCGGTGGGCTACCAGACGAACACCACCAAGCCACTTGGGTGCCACATGTCAGCAGTGACCGTTAGAAATGACGGGTATCAGCACCTCGATAACTTTCGGGGAGATATTTCTGGCGTCATATCCAAACATCACATTACAGAATCTCGAATGCCCGTCCTGGTTTGCAGTCTTGATTGGTTTCGAGTATTTACTGCCGACCCCCAGCGGCCAGCTCAGTACATACATACTTGCTCCTGTTGCCCTCCACAATTGCAATAATCATCAAATGCCTCATGTTCGCTAATTTGGTTTGCTTCGTCGAGATACTGGAGCGAGGACCGTTTGATAGGGTTTTTGTATGTTGGGGGACCCCCGCAGATATTGCAGAAGAAAGTTGTATCCTCTGCGTCCATTATTGCTCAACCTTGTCAATCTCAAGGTCAGGATCGATCGAGCGGCGGGAGGATGGAAAGTGAACGTCAAGGGTCTAAGACTGACTAATTACTTAATTAGGAGAGACCCTAGTAGTAATAATATAAAATCTCTTAGGACTTTAGGGAAGCCTAGGAAGGCTAAGAGATCAGCAATATAAGACTAATAAGGCTTAAGTAAAGTATTATAATAAATACAATACAGAACTAACTTTACAAAGAGAGGATCTAGTAGGATTATTAATAAAGAACTTAAAGTTAAAAGTACTATAAACGAAAGTCAATCACTTATGTATATATATGATATCACATATTCACTACCCGTTGCTTATTTCTTGCAATCCAAGGAACTTATTAATTGGAAGCAGATGAGTACATCGGATTGAATTCTGTTAATGCATCCAGACTAATAAGCTGAAAGATTCTGTGGGACTCCCATGAGCGTTGACGTCAGGCGCGGTCAAGATCCGAGATATCAGCCCATCGGGCCGACTCGACATTGTCCACCATGACGCCGATGTGGACATGCTGAAACAGGGCAGGCATTGGGCAGACAGTGGATAATAATCCGGCTGCTCGACTCAAAATGCGCTCGAAGTCATCAATTTATTGACCGAAGGTGATACTGGTAGACGATGATCACCAAAGTATCTCTCTCGGATCGGATATGTCAGGTCACTTGGGGATGGTATTCCATCTCCATGGCTACAGGAGGTATTGCTGTTCTCCTGTCTAGCACGCCGCATCAATTCCCTGGATTGCAGACCATTGGCAAGATTGTCTACATCCTCAATATCGTCCTCTTCCTGTGTATATCTGCCTGTCTGATCATTCGTTTCCTAACCAAGTGCTCAGCGCTGAAAGAATCCTTCCAAGAGCCCAATGAAAGCCACTTTATGGGAACATGTCTACTGGCCCTGGCAACAGTCATCCTGGGAGCCGAGAATTATGGAACAGAAGCATGTGGCCCCTGGCTGCAGGTTGCCCTTCGCATCGTCTTTTGGATCTACGTCGCCCTCTCGATCATCCAGGCCATCTGGCATAACTGGTACCTCTACCATATCCGCATGGCCAGTCGCCAGCCGTTTGCCCTCGTCCGTCTTCTCCCTTCGTTTCCGGCCATGCTGACAGGGACGATCGCATCAGTGCTGGCATCGCATCAGCCTCGTCATCATGCCCTCCCAATTCTCATCGGGGGGACCACCTTCCAAGGTTTTGGATTTATCATGTCACTATTCATCTACTCCGAGTACTTCTATCGACTCAACAAGGACGGACTCCCGAAGGCATCTGATCGACCCGAAATGTTTATCGCCGTGGGACCATGGAGTTTCACGGCCCTCGCCCTGATCGGGATGGCAGAAGCAGCCGTGAAGCAGTTTCCTGAGCAGTACATCATTTCCTACGCGGACGCCTCCACTAGCCAGCAAGTGTCTATCACGACAGGAGACATTGCACTGGTGCTCGCGGCGCTGGTCGCAATCTTCCTATGGGCAATGGCAGCCTTTTGCCTTTGCATTCTGCACTCAGCGTCTTGGCGCAGTGTTGTGTTTTCGGAGGGACCGGAGCGCCGGGCATGTCGCTTCCATACTGGAGTATGGTGTTCCCGAATACCGGGTTCGTGATTGCTACCATTCGGATAGGACAGGTGTTGCAGTCACCGGCGATTCTGTGGGTTGGGACGGGGTTGACGATTGCCCAGGTGGCTATCTGGTTGTGTGTGGGTGTGGGCACGATATGGGCTGTTGCTTCGCGGCGGATGCTGTGGCCTGAGACCGGGGATAAGGAGGCTTAATTCATTCAATATGTTGCATTTGAGTGTCAACAACCAGCTGGACATCCATAATATAGCACGGACAATGAAATAAACTTGGTTAGAAAGGTTCATGCAATACTCATATCATGCCACTGGACTTCTAAGTCACAGTCACTCAACCGAGGGATGTCCCGCTTTAAGGCTGAGTTTGCGATGATCGACAGTCGGAACTCGGAAACAACCTTATTTGGCCGAATGATAAAAGAAATAATAGGGGGGACAAATGATGCTAAAGTCTTTTTATTAGCTACTAATCTAGGTTTTATCCGGGAGAGGTATACATTGATTTAGAAGGCACAAACACCCTCTCACTACTAGGGGATGTCATATATACCTTATCTAGCATCGCATGGGTAACAAGACTGTTTTGGCCCTCTGGATCCCATTTAGTAGATAAATTCTTGTCAAACTTATGGACTTGCAAGCCCGAAAAGATTTCAAATGGGCCAGGATAGTATTGTCCTTTTGTCCATGGGTGCCAGGCGATCGTTCCCCTTTCCCTGACAAATAGCGGTCTCAGCGGACCCACAGGGCTATCGGCAAAAAGCTGGCTGAAATCGCTGTCTTGGACAGGGTGACGATATGCATACAAATCCTAGACGACCAGAAATAGCCGTTGCGAGCACTAGATTGAGGAGAGAGCGGAGAGCAGAGAACAGCACCGGGGACAAACTTCACGGCAATTGCCAAATCGGTGGGGATCAGCCTCCGAACCTAGTTCGTGGTAGATCTGCACTTGTAGCTTTCTTGGTACCGGCCACAACATGGCCTCCGCAGCTGATGCTGGAGATCTCTCGGAAGCGTCTGTCTGAGCCATTGATGTCAGCTGCATGCAGTATGAGCTCCTTGAGAACTTGTTTAATGCTCACCCAATGCGAGGCTGTCCTATGCTGACCAATGCTGGGGTATTTCCTTGGATCACAGACCGTTGTGTTATTAATACCGCTAGCTTCATAAAGCCGAGATCCGTCTAACCTCAAAACTCTGGCTGGTAAATTACAGCCTCCTCCAGTATTGATTTATGTGACGGAGCAGCAAGTACAGTCTTGAAAGTGGTTGGCGCGTTGTCTTTATAATGTACACCACGTAGAGCTTCCATGGTAGATGTAGGTAGCATAGTTGGAGCGATAAATGTAACAGTTGACACCCCTGGACACTGCTGTAATGACTCGATCTCATATGACCAATCAAGTGATAGAAAGGGATCGTACTCGTATATCGCTCATAGTAAGCAACTGTCATCATTCAAAAGGGAATAGTAAGAAGGCTATTAGCACAGTCACATTGGTTATGTTTTAAGGGCGTTCTTAGCAGCCTATCAGACCCTGAACTATTTGGCCGCTTAAACTCAAGTTTCACAATTTCCTTCAGGGGCGAATGAAATTAATGCATCTATTAATGCCTCTACCTAATAATATGAATATCTGTAAATAGAACGGATGTCTTTCTTTCTTTCTTTCTCTTTTCTCCACCACTGCATGTGACGTGCCTTTTCCTTCCGTGTCATTCTTTCTGTCATCCTCTGTCAACCTGGCAGTCTAGCATTCTTCACTACAACTTAATCTTTGTTAATTTTATCATACTTTAATGCTCTCAATGAAGTTTCCACTCTTTCATAATCAGTAATGCATTTCCTATCGCTCGTTTTCGGCTTTCTAGCCATTCTCAGCCTTTTCCTCCCCGCCTCGGCCGTCCGACTGATCGAATCCAACGCCCTGAATATCTGTCAAGACAGCTCGAATTTCACCGCAACCTATTTCAATGTCCTCTTTACCCCAGATAACCGAACTTTGACCTTCAGTTTCGATGGCGTGGCCTCCATCTCCGGCAAAGTCACCGCCGACCTCATCCTGTACGTCTACGGATATGCAATCCCCCAGAATACGATCGATCCGTGCAAGACGGACAAGATGAAGGGATTCTGTCCGATGAATGCCGGTCCCATCGATGTCCCGACCGCCTCGATTGAGGTTGGGAAGGATGTCGTCAGCAGGATTCCCGGTTAGTCTCTTTCCCACCCTCCATCAGCCTCGTCTAATTGCGCAGGCATCGCATATACCGTCCCTGACCTGGACGCCACCGTCCGGATCTACGTCAACTCCAGCGCAACCGGCGAGAGCATCACCTGTGTCGAGGCGCGCCTCTCCAACGACAAAACAGTCTACCAAGCCGGAGTCGGCTGGACCACGGCCATCATCTCGGGACTGGGGCTCGCCGCGTCGGCATTCACCTCAACGCAGGGCCATTCCAACGCCGCAGCTCATCTGGCCGGCAACACCCTCGCGCTGTTTAGCTTCGTGCAGGCGCAGGCCATGGTTGGGATGCTGGCGGTGCACATGCCGCCGATGGTGCAGTCGTGGACGCAGAACTTCCAGTGGAGCATGGGGGTAATTCGGGTCGGGGCGGTGCAGAAGATCGGAACGTGGTACCAACGCGCGACGGGCGGCGTGCCGTCCACGCTGCTGACACAGTTGTCGACCACATCGGTGAATGTGCTGAAGAAGCGGAAGCGCGATGTGGCTGAGAGTCCCACGAATGTGATCGTCCGGGGGATCAAGCGCGTGGGGCTCAAGGCTGCGATCGAGGATACGAACCTGTTCTTGACTAGTATTATCATTTTCACGTTCTTTGCTCTGGTGATTATGATTGTCGTCCTGCTGATGAAAATGGTCTGCGCCGTGCTGGCGAAAAAGGGACGGACAGGCCCGGCATGGGGCTACTTCCTGGCGGAATGGGACGTCGTGGCCCGTGGGGTTCTGTATCGTCTTGTCTTTATTGGCTTCGCGCCGCTGAGCATCTTCTGCCTGTGGGAATTTACGCAGCATGACTCGTCGGCGGAGATCGTCGTCGCTGCCATCATCCTGGCCTCGATCATCGGAGCGCTGGTATGGGCCGCGTTCAAGATCATCCTGCTGATGCGAAAATCGACCTCGATGCACCGCAACCCGGCCTACGTTCTCTACTCAGACACCACCTGCCTGAACCGCTGGGGCTTCTTGTACGTGCAGTACCGCGCCACAGCCGCCAGCTTCATCCTCGTCATGATTGGCTACCTCTTCGTCAAAGCGCTGTTCATCAGCCTGGCGCAGTCGGCACCGATCGTGCAGACCGTCGCCCTTTTGGTCATCGAGGGCCTGATGCTGATCGGGGTGAGCATCGTGCGCCCGTGGATGGACAAGCGCACCAACACGTACAACATCGCCATCGCTGCGGTCAACTTCCTCAACGCGATTTTTGTGCTCTTTTTCTCCGGCGTGTTTGACCAGCCGGGCATCGTCTCGGGGGTGATGGGCGTGTGCTTCTTCGTCATCAACGCGGCGCTAACCCTCATTTTGATACTCTTGGTCATCTACGCGTCCGTCATGGCGGTTATCTCCAAGAGCCCGGATACGCATTACAAGCCTATGCAGGATGACCGCGGCTCGTTCATCCAGTCCAAGGTGCGGCTGGGGTCGGAGCTGGATGACCTCGGCGCTGCAGCTAGGGGGGACATGGCCGAAACCAAGTCTTGATTTATCCATTTGTCTGTCTGTATATACATGCTAATGCCAAATCAATGCGGACTATCCTCATTAGAGTCAAAATGCTCGCGAGCCCACGGACTCCGCAACCGGATCGCCCGGCCCATGTAGAAAAACACAAACGGGATCGGCACGAGAAGAATAGCCAAGAATCCCAGCAAACTCGACGCCCACTCGTAGCCGAGCCGCTGGTACATCTGGCTCGCGAACAGGGGGAATCCGGCCCCGACGACGTTCCTGGCCAAAATAACCCCCGCCAGCGCCGAGGCCGAGTACGTCTGGTAGCTGTCCACCACGTAGTTCAGAATACTCAGGATCACGATGTAGATGCCCGCGCCGAAGAACGAGGACGCGATGATCGGCACGATCCAGTGCACGGAGCGGTAGCTCGTCCAGCCGAACCAGAATAGACTGATCGGGATCAGACCCGCCCCCCACCGCGCCATCCACATCCGTGCCTCGGGCTCGCCTTTGCCTCCGTTGGCGGCTACGCGGCGTAGGTAGTACTGTTCCTGCAGCGGGTAGAGACAGAACGCGACGATTGGGCCGATGGCCATGCCGAGGAAGGAAAGGCCCTGCTGGCCGGTGTTGAAGCCGTGGCCGGTGCCGGGGCCGAAGACGAGCGGGAAGGCCTCGTTGAATAGGTAGACGAGCCCGTAGAGGAAGCCGTTGTAGATTGCTGAGCAGAGCGTGATGGGCTCGGTGAAGAGGAACCTAAAGGGCCGGGTGAGGGTGATGGCGAAGAGGGTGTGCAGGCCCTTGCGGGCGTGCGCGTGGAGGTCCACTGTCGTCGAGGCGGACGCCAGGTTCTCCTGCGCCATTTGCTTGCGGACGCGCGCGGCCTTGCGCTGGAGGATGATGCTGTGTCGAGTCTCGGGGATGGTGACGATGAGCAGCAGCCAGAAGCCACCAGTGATGGCCATCAGCACCCAGAAGATCCACCGCCAGCCTGCGTTGAGGCCGATGTACCCGCTCATGACTAATGCGGTCGGAGGGCCAAAGGTACTGCTGAGCCCGTAGACGGCCATCGGGCCGCCGCTGCTGTTGCGCTCCCAGAGATCGCTGATGGAGCCGCCGGTATTGGTCAGAGGCGCGCCGCCTGCACAGCCAGCCAGAAAGCGGCAGACGATGATTGTGCCGATGTTGGGGGCGAGGGCGAGGGGCAGCTGGAAGATGAAGAGGAGGGACCACGAGACGACGTAGACAGGTTGTCGGCCAAAGTACTCGGATAAAGGCGCCAACAGGACTGGACCGATCGCGAAGCCGAGTACGTACAGCGAGAGGCAAAGCGTGGTGACTTCAGAGGAGACATGGAATTCCTCGGCGATGCCGGTGGCTCCTGACGAGATGCCTCCGGCGCACCAGCAGCTAGCTTTTGTTAGAAAGGTCATGCAGTATGGATCAGGAGACGTACGTGAGGACATTAAGCATACTGACGAAGAACGTAATGTACCATTT